TGGGGCAAGGAGCAGGGCGGCGAGGCTCAGCCTCGGTGCGGGCTGGGGACATCGCGGGGAGCGGGGGGAGAATGGCTCCTGTGTGCTCCTCTGCCCTGAGCTCGGTGGGAACAAGGGCCAAAGTGTGCGTGGTGCTCGAGCTTGGGGCTCGGGGGCTGTCTGTCACTGCCACTGCAGTGAGGGGACACCCGCTGCTGGTGAAATGCAATGTTTGAGTTGCTCCGTGCGGCTCTCTTGCCACCGTCCCTCCTTTTCTCTCTCTTTTTAAGCACTTCTGAGCCCGGCGAGGGACAAGGAGGCTGCAGGGCCAGGCCGTGCCTGCGGGTGGGAGCGCGGATATGGAGGGGTAACACCAAGTTTGCTCCACAGCAATAACCGAGATAGACTAAACAAAATCTTGCACGCATCTGCAGCCCGGCTCTTTCTGGATCGAGGCAGAAGGCTCGTGCGGCGTAGCAGCATCCACCTAACATCTGTCAGCGGTGTTTTTATTTTCCCCAAAACATTTTTTCAGTGAAATTCTAGCAAATGGTGAGCCCCGAGTCTACCTGCCGCCCAGACAGCTACCAGCCAGGTGCAAGGCTGCATTATTTTGTGTAGGACAGATTCGTTTTCTAACCAAAACCTTGATTAATCCCTGCTATGTCAGAAGGAGGCTCCCCAGCCCTTTCATCTCCCCGCTGGGGACACCAAGGCAGCCCCGAGCGTTTCCTCCCCGCTTTAACTCCTTGCTGGGCATATCTCCGGCCCTGGCTCGCCCTGCTGGCTGTACCAGCACAACTGGCTCCACGAAGGCATTTCCTCACTCCTGCAAGCTGCTCCAGCTCACCGAGCGGGGCACGGCGTGTGCTCAGCACTCCTGAACTCCCATTGAGTTTGGTGGGGGTGAGCGGCAGCGTTAAAATCAAGCCCCTGCCCGAGGGCTTTGCATATGCGTGACCTTTAAATCGGAGCTGGGGCACATTTTGCCTCCAAGCCCTTGTCAGTGGAGGCCCTGATGTTAACCTGCCTCGGTGGCTTGCTTGGTGGGCAGCTCTTGCTGCTTGGCTCCCTTTTGGGGAGCAGAACCCTGGTTTCTCAGGAGCTGTGGACCAAAGACAAGGACGTAAAGGACGTAAAAAGACAAGTGGTGCTCACAAGCCAGCCCGTTAGTGAATCCAGGCGCTGAATCTCACATCCTGCTGCTCGCTGCGACTCCCTGAAGCCGGTAAGATGCTCCTGGTGTGTGTTCTTCAGTGGAAACTGCAGGTCTGTCAGGTGTCTCAGACCTCATTCTGCATGGAGCAAACAATCTGCTTTCACTCGAGCAGCAGACCTCAGTTTGGGGTGGAATAAGAGAGAGAAATCTGTGGCCTCGCCTTGCTGACGCTACGAAACACGGAGTGGCCGTGGGAAGGGGAGAGCTCTGAATAAAGGCAGCTCTCGATTCTCCTGAGTGCTGCTGACTTAAAAGCCAGAGAGCAGAAGCATCACATGTGCCAGTTTCCAGCGTAATTACTCAAAATCTAGGTCAGCGTTTGCACTGTAGCAAGCATTTCTGCTCGGCAGGGCGATTGACTTGCCGTCGCTGGGGGTGCGTTAATAAATCTCCGGCAAACGTTATCAGCGATCTGCTCGCAGCATCTTTGATCTGAAGGTCTTTGAGCGCAGCTGTCATTAAGGGAAGTTCCTTGTGCAGCTTTGTGGAAGCTTTTTGGAACCGTCTTCCAAACGGGGCCAGCGAGGGAGGGAGTGAGTTGTTTGTGCTGAGAGGGCCGAGGCACTGCCGGAGGTAAGGATGCGACCCAGGAGCGCCGGCTCCCCGGCTCCTGCTCCCAGTCCCCAGCCTCCTCACACCCTGCCTCGTGCTGTGATCTCCCCAGACACGCGGCTCCAGCTTCAGGAAGAGCTCACCATGACGCTGGAAGGGTGGTGCACAACGGGGGTAGGGAACAAGCCTCATTGCCCAAGCATCTGAAGCCCCCGAGGAAGGAAATGAGGCTGCTCAGAAGCTTGGTAAGGATGGGTAAGAGCAGTAGCAGCAGGCTCTGGGGCTGAGGGAGGAGCATTTCCCTCACTGTCACTTTCTCCGGATCCAAACCACCACCAGGAGAAACAGAAACCCCTAGGGATGAGAAGGATGGGATCTGTGCTGCCTCCATCCTGCTGCTGAAGGCAGTTTCGCCATTGATCTGCAGGAAGAAAAATGAACATCTTCCTTTAGGAGCCGCTGCCCTGAACTAGAAGTTAGGCGTTTCTGAAGTCATTGATCTTCCTTCCACCCAGCAGAGTTTGGTCAAAAGCGTGTCCTGATCTTGCAGAAGGAAAGAAAACAGACTCTGAGGGCCGAGGGACTGGACATCAGCTGCGTTGGCTCCTCTCTGGAAGGAAAGAGGGACCGGTGGGACAGCCGAGGACAGCCCTGCGCTGAGACAGAGCTGTGCACATCGGCTCCTTTCCGCCATCTGGAACCCAGGCAGCAACTGGAGAATAACACATTGGGTCCGGCTCTCAGATGCACGCAGAGCTTCCAGTTATCCACGCTGCTCCTCCTGGGCTGCCCCTCATCAGAGCCTGGGGTTTTGACGAGGGTGGCTGCAGGAGCTGAGGATTGGGACCAGCACGCAGCAGGCACTGTGCTCGTTTGCCTGGTGGGGTTCAGCACGCTGAGCCCCGTTCTGTGCCTCGATGCTCCCAGCCGAGCCGTAAGGTTCAGGGAAGCACATGAGGCTCCGTTTAGGTCTGCAGGGTTGGTTCAGGATGGGCTGGCACTGCTGGAGCATTCGAGCTCACCCAGGGCAGCTCTGCAGCCCCTGCAGAGACCCCTCTGGGACGTGCTCCAGCAGCATCATGCTCGTCGACCCCTCTAACCTGGAGAAAACATCTCACCTAGAAGCATCATCTCCCTAAGAGGAAAGATCTCACCTAGAGGAAGCACCTCACCTTGAAGAAACATCTCACCTAGAGGAAGCATCTCCCCTAGACTCTCCTCCCTCTCCAGCCCCCGCTCCAGCAGAGGTGGGACCTTGCGCTGCCATTTAATGCCACCACCCACCCTCAGTGCTCCGTGGTCCTTGCCTCTCTCACATTTCCTGCATACTCTGCTCAATTCCTAAGAACCCTTTGGCTCCCCTTACCCATCTCCCAACCGGCCCCACGCTATTTCCAGGAGCGAATGCACAAAGCCGTGCAAACGGAGCTTGCATTTTGTGCTGGAAGCCGTGCGGTTGCAGGGTTCCTATGGACACAGTCACCGTGGAGCTGTTGCCATGGTGCTGGCTGCTCCCACTGCTGGGAGATGCAAAGCATTCGGCTTTTTTTTGAAGCAAGGCAGAAAAGCAGTGGGTACCAGAGGGCACAGCAGCATGGAAGCTTTCCGAGATGTATTTAGAGGCTGATAATGACTTGGCTTTAGAGCTGGGCCAGCTCCGCCGTCTGTCTTTGTCAGGTTCCTTATTTTTTCTTTTTTGCATCATAAGGTAACAAGCCAGCAAAAGGAAGCCAGACCGACGCCCTCGCTGCAGGGTCACCCACAGCAGCATTTCGCCACGCGACGGCTGCAGCACATCCCAAATAAATAAACCCAAAGAGTGCCCACCGTAAGCAGTGCGTGGCTTTTACCTCACCTCAGTTTAAACCTCCAGCAGTAAGGCTTGCAAGAAGGCAAGGACGTGGAGGTGGAACTTAACATCCCATCTTCTCCTGCAGGCCCCCTTTCCTTGGAGGCACGAGCTCAGCTTGTTTTAAACTTGTTTTAAAATCAGTGCTCCTCTGGAGGGAAGCTTGGCAGCTGTTGGTGACCCTGCCAGGCTGCTGATGGTCCTGGAAGAAGGAGGCGGAGGAGAAAGGTTTGTGGCTGTGCCAGCCAGCCTCGTCTAGGTAGGGGCAGAGCTAATCCCATCAAGGCAAACACCGCTTTCCCTTTCATTTCAAGCAGAACCCGGTCAGATTTAATGAATACTAATAGCTGCTCCGCACACCTACAGCTCCTGGCTCTGAGCGTTTCGCCACCGCCATGCAATTAATCCTCCAAACACTCCCGGGAGGGAGGGAAGGATTCGTTTCTCGGCCTCTGAATAGCGATATGGGGGTGTGGAGTCGGTGATAAGGGGCCTCCATCAATGCTGGGGCCATCGGGAAGAGCATCGAGGAGTTCCCCTTGCCTGTCCCGAGCTCTGGAGAGCCCGTGTTGAGCAGCACCGGGTGACACACAGCGTAGGGCTCACAGCAGCCTGATTTAGAGCTACATTTTAGTGATTTTCCCCGTCTTGAGAGTCCTTTTTGTTGTGCACACACACACAATGTGCACACGCACAATGGGGAAGCCAAGGGCTGCCTTAGGTGGCAGCTAATGATAATAACAGAGTCGGCAGGCCTTGGACTCCGTTCTCTAGCCAGATAGGCTTATTAGTACCATTATCATTATTATTTTGCATCCCTTTCCCCAGGGGATGCCCAAATGCTTCTGGGGGAGGTTTTTGTCGCCTGCAAACCACGCTCCCCAACGGCTTCTCTAAAGCACAAAGGAAAATCCCCAGTGGAAACCCCGCGGGGCGGCGGGGGGATCGCGGCTTTCTCCGAGCAAGGAAACTCGAGCCTCGGCCCCGCAGCTGCAAGGGCTTGCACTCAGCAGCTCGCAGAGGAGCTGGCGGGTTGTTTGCCCTTCCCGCAGGATGGAAATAGCCCAGGGCCTGGAAAAGCATCAGCAGGAGGAGCGCAGCACCAGGAAGCGCCAAGGGCGCACGGCCAGGAGGTGACTGCACACAGCTTTTAGCTGCCCAGTGCTGGGGACGTTGCTTTTTTTTGGGGGGGAGTTTGGTGAGTTGGTGTGCAAGGGAGCCAGACCTGTTACCTGCGGCAGGTTTTGCCCCCTGGCTTCTCACAAATTCAAGTCCAAGGGCAAGAAGAGGAGGTGTAGCAGAGGAGATGCTGCAGGGTGGGAATTGGGCTCTTGGTTGAGGGCTGAGACCCTCTTGTCTTGCACGTAACAGCTCATCTGCCTCACAACTCATCTCTCCAAGGCCTTCATTCCCACCACGTCCCTGGAAGGATGGCCAAATGCCCCCCCGTGCCTCCTGTGATGCCTCTGGATCCCCGTCAGAGCCCTGGAGCTGAGCAGACCCCGAGATCGCTGCCCTTGCCATCAGCCACCCGGGACCTTTTATAGCAAGCCCGCGCCGCAAACACAAAGCTCGAGTTTCACGCTCTCCTAGCCCCAGCCAACTGTGCTCGTACCTTAGTGGATTCCAGACCCCAAAATGCCTTCCTCCTCCACACGGAGGCCAAATATAGCCGCTCCTTTTCTTAGGGCCTGATAAAAATGGGGAGTAAATTATAGATGCTCTCTCCACCTTCTGGCAGGAAGCATGCTGCCAGGCTGCCTCGCTGTATTAGCTTCGAGCTGATGTCTGCAGATTAAACAATGGCTGCTGTTGCTTTCCTGGAAAGAAAAGCAACCCCAGAAAACCCGTCTCTCTCTCTCTTCCTCTCTTTTTTTTTTTGCTGGTTATTGTGTCCAGCTATAAGGAGCAAGGAGAAACCGAGTGGAAAAATTGAATCTGGCAGTAAGAGGGTGATGCATGAAGGCACACGACTTCCAAACCCAGAGAACAAAAATAGCTGAAAGGAGGAAAAAAAAAAAAAAGGCTGAAAGAAGCTCTTTAATTATTCCATTTCTCTCCAAAGCTTTGCCCCTGGCACAGCCAAGCTGCCGTTCCTATAGGGTAACCATATGTGTTGCAGTAAAGCTCGAGCACCGCATTGTGAGAGAGAAAGCCCAGCTTTTTTGGCTGGGCTTTCAAAGAGCTGGTAGCAGATCGATTGTAGCCAGAGCCCTGGGCACGGGGAGGGCAGGAGGGAGGCTGTGCTCCCGTAATGAGCCACCAGGATTTCAGTTTTGGCCCAGCTGATGCCAGGGAGGGCGCTCAGCTCCCTGCCGGGGGGCTGGAGGCTGCTCCTGGGAGACAGTTTGGGAGAAGAGCTGGGGAAAAGCAGAGGGTGGTGTGGGTTTGTTTTGCTTACTTTTTTAGTCTGCAGGAGAACCCATTCCCTCCTGTGCCCTTCATGTCCTTCCCTCTTTGTCCAGCACTTGCACTTTTATGCCTGTGAGGAACTCTGGGGATAAATCCCGGGGGCGTTGGTTGTGCTGGGGCCACGCTGGCATCCCAGCCTTCCCTCTGGAGGGAGCAGGTACTCGGTCAAACATCTTTCTTTGGGATTAGTGAGCAGTTGTCCTGCGAGCCTCCCCGCTGGCTGGGGTGCAGGTCGAAGGAATTCTGCAGCAGGACTAAAAACGAAAGAGTTGTCTAATCACCAATAATCAATCAGCTGTAATTTGCAAGCTAACGAGAAGACCTCTGCTGCATGCACAGACTGCAGTGCCCTTTTCTGAACCATTCGAGGGGTTTTTTCTTTCCTTGCCAGCTTCCTCAGAGCTACAGCAGGCCGGGGGGCAGCTCCTGGCCAGCACCGTGGTATCACTGCGGCTTCGGAGACCCAGAGGAAGCAGTGGAGCCGCTGGTAGGCAGCAGCTGGATTTCTTCTATCCAGCACTTCTGAATGAAAGCAGATCCCGGGCTGTCTTCTGTGATACGCAGCGGTGATCGATAACCTCGCCTGCTTGCGCTGGATCCGCTGCTTGGCTTGGGCTGAGCCGCAGCGAGCAGCCTTCGGTGAGATGAATCCTGGACGCAGGGAGCAGAGCCCCGGCCTCTCCTTGTGCAGCTCTGGCAGGGCTTCGGTGCTCTCCCTGAGGTACATCCCAGGTAATTTAGGAGCAGCACAGCTCCCTGCCTTCCTCTTCAGCCTCCTCGTGAGGAGCAGCGAGGCTCTGATCTCGGGTGGTGTCACTGCGAGGCGTGCAGGGAGCACGCTGCCCGTGGCCGCGTGCCATCAGCCGGCCTCTGCCGTCACTAATTAGTGCGTGACACAGGACAGCCCCATCAGCTAGCTGCTCATGAGCCACATGAAGCTCAGGAGGGTGCTCACGGGTGGCAGAGCCGCTCTCTCACGCGGCGTTGGTCTGAAAATGCCAAAGATCTCGCGGGTGCTAGGGAAGGAGCTCCACGCTGCTCCTGCGCGAGGACAGGCTCACTGCCCGCTGCCCCCCGGATTACACGGGACCGTAGGAAACGTCGGCTGCCTCGTAGCTGGCAGATGGGGACTGCACTCAGCTGTGGAAGGTATTAGGGACGTTTCCTGTTGAGGAGTGCTTGGGGTGGATGTTGCTGAGTGTGCTGTGCGGGTCTGGTTAGGTGTAAGCTTGTAAGGGGTGTGCAGGTGCCATGCTGCTGGTCTCAACTTGGAGTTTCAACCTCAGCTTGGAGTTTCCACTTTGGCTTTTTTTTTTTTCCCCAGCTTTGGGACCTTTGGGGCTTTCTTCTCAAATATCTCCTCCTTTCTCTTGGAAGCACATCCCTTAGTGAGGACAGTCACTGCCTTCCCCGCTCCCTTACTGACTGCAGACACCGCCAGGCGCGGGGTTCCTGTGTCCTCCGGTGTCTCCCCAGGACTTTTTGCTGTTCCCTTTGGTGTGTGACCATCCTAGCCTTTCGCTGCTCTAGCAGCACTGATTCACGTGGCTCTAAACCACCTCTCTCCCTTCTCTCTCTCCTTTCACCCGGCAAACGCTCAGTGCCGGATTTTTTCAAAGCCTGAGCAGTGAGATTTTGGGAACCAACAGTTAAAGTTACGAGCCCACAAGCTTGAGAAGTGCTCGCTTCTTACGGAATTGGGTTTGTACACCCTTGGTGTAGGGGGTGCTGTGAGGCTCACCACATCGCCAGCTGGGTGGTTAAAGCAAGAGCTGCCCAGCAGCGAGCAGCTCTGGATGCCGGCCTCAAAGAAACTCATTTTGGACACACGGCTCAGGCTGGGAATGTTTTTTTTAATGCCTGATGGCCACATTTCACTCGGGGAGGGAGGCCGGTGACCTTTGCAGCTGGAGCCCTCCAGCCTCTTGCTGTCACAGCTGCCCAGTGATGTGGAAGGAGAACCGAGCGGATAATTGTGGGGGAGATTGGTCTGCCTGTGCCCAGAGAGCCACGGGTGGAGAGGGGTTTGGGGTGCTCAGTGCCAGCAGGACGGAGATGGGTTTGTGCCCAAGTGGTGGCTCCTGAGGACCAGAGGACAAAACTTGCTGCGTGGCTGCACTTCAGGCACGGTCATAGCCCAGAAAATCTGTTCTGATGGTAGGGAGGCAAGCAGTTTGGGCCTGCCATGAATGGCTGGCAAATTACTGCCAATTAGCAGTGCCTGCAGAATCAGAACGAGACTATTGCAGCACACCTGAATGCTTCCATGACGCTGGCAGAAGACAGCATCACCATCCCTGGTGTCAGCCCGGAGGAATTCATTCTCCATCAGGTGGGGTCCTGCTTCCTAGGAGTGAGTCCCGAGCTTACGGGGCAGCAGGAAAAAAACAAAGTGGGACGTGTGAACCCCTCCTCCCGTCAGCCACCAACACACATCTCAGGCCCTCGGATCTTTCCTTTTCTTGGCTTCTCTCCCAGGCATGACAAGCAAGCAATTAATTACTTCTTTTTGCTGCTCTCGTTGCAGGGCGACCATCGATGAAGTGGAAACAGATGTGGTGGAGATAGAAGCAAAGCTTGACAAGGTAAGACGGAGCTCCACGGTGGTTTGAAGTGGGGCTGATGGGTTCCTGCTTGGGAATATGGCCCCAAAAGCCTCCTCTGAAGAAGGGAGCCCAACACAGGCTGCCAGGAAACTGATGTAAAACACACTGAGCTCGTGCACAGGACCATGTCTCCCTCTACTGCCTGGCACCTGTCAGGGCTCCTTCGTGATAGCCGAAGCTGTCAGGACAGGAGGTCCAAGACTTGGGCTCCTAATGCTGCTTGGTGGCCTTCCCGGCTATTAACAGAGAAAAAAAAAAAAAGGCCTTGTCTTGAAGTAGGAGCTGTTACTGCCCAGCCCAACCCTTCATTTTATTACAATATCACTGCAACTGGATGTGATTAGATTTTAATCCTGGCCTCTGAAATCCCATCCTAGTTTCCTGGCCTCGTCGCCCTCCCTGACAGCGCATTGCCCTCCTTTCCCTGCCTCCTTTCCTAGCCCATTGTGCCCAGTGCTGGCTTGTTGCTGTGTGACTGCACATCCGTAATTATGGTCTGCAGATAACGAAAGGGCACTGGACTGAAATGCTAATTACAGATTCTCTGAAGGTGGGGTGGGCTCGGTGTTCAGCCTCTGGCTGCTGGGACTGGCGTTGGTGGCGAGGGATGCAGTGAGGGTGGATCCTGCAGATGTTGCAGGGAGCTGGGCAAAGGGCGTCCCTTGCTTCGAAGGCTTTGAGGACGAGGGGACAGCACGGCAGGGAGTGCCGGGGTGGCGTGGATCGGAGCCGGAGGCTTTTTGGTGGCTTCTCCGCCCCCGCTCGTCCTGACATCCGAGGCATCAGCCAAGTCGTTTCTCAATGAGAGCAGAGAAATGAGGAGGAGGAGCCAGAAGGGCTGCTGGCTTTTTTTCTCTGTGAGATTTCCCAAAGCTAGCAAGGGAGAAAAAATCCTGTGTCTGATAGAAAAACGGGCTCTGTTGAAGTCACAAGCCCTAGGCGAACCCCTGTCCTATAAAACCCATTTATTCCTCAGCTAGAGTGACTTCAGCTTTTCCTACCCTGTCACCGACACGTTTCCTAGCGGTGCTGTCCCAGCTCTCTGATGCTCCAGGAGTTTTTCGAGGGCTAGGAAATGCGACTGCAGGGCGGGCTTGTGCCGAGTGGCCTTCAGCTACCAGCAACACAGCCTTGGCCACAAAGTGGCTGCACAGAGGTGGTGTAGAAACCGCCACGTTGCAGAATAAGCTGGATTTCCTTTCCAGAGGATCCGTCCAAACCCCTAGTGTCCATCTGGGCTCCAGATGTGACAGGAGCTGCCTCTATTCGCTCTCCTCCTCTGGGCTTGGACGGGATAGTGCGAGTCTGCTGCCTGCCAGCGCTCTGCTGTCAAGCTGCGTGGACAGGGGAGCCTGCGAGTGTGAAAGAGCCAGGTCTGCACACCCTGCGTGTACACAGCCGTACCCTGCGTGGCTTTGTGTGTGTTTATACATTCAGTTAAATCCTTCCGGGACTGCAGGGAGAGGCCAACAGGCTCCTTCTGCAATGCACGTGTATAAACGTGACTCAGCACGCACCCCAGAGCCTGGTGGCTGCGTGGAAAGAGCACCGAGCCCAAATCAGGTCAAGGCAAACCTGAGCGCTCCTCACCACCAGCCTGGGGTGAGGCTGGCTGCCAGGGGGAGATTTCTAAAGCCATTGATCCCTAGTAAGAGGAACGGCCCTACAAGCTCCTGGGTTGTGAGAATGGGAAACTCCAGTTCCAAGTGTTGGTCACTGTCAGTAGCTGAAGTTTTTCACTTGGATAAAAAGCCTGGAACTGTGATGATTTAAAAAAAAATAAAAGCTCTGTGGTCATCCTTTACTGTTGCAAGTCTCTCGGGCCTTTGGTTTATGGATTTCTCTTGTTTCACTTAACCTTTTACAAGGAGTTTTGGCTGAACGGAGATATGCCAAAGGCCAGGATGCCGCAGCCTTTCCAGCCAGTTCCAGGCCCGCGGAGGCAGTTTGGTGGCCAGGATGTCTGGGAATGTTCCCAGCAGCTGTTAAATTATCACAAGTTAATCAGGGCTCTCTGGAGACGTATGCCCATGCTGCAGCAAGCCCCTTCCAAAATCAGGAAGCTGCCCCGTTTTGGTCCAGGGAGCTTCACTGGGGTCATAACACGGGTGGTGATGGGAACTGGAGCGCGTGGCTTGCTGTTAACACCATGGTCCTGAGAACACGGCCCCTTCCAGGGCTGCCTGACAGCACGACAAACCCTGAGAAACGAGATGTACATCCCCATTTCTGCCCCGTGCCATCAGGGCTGCTCGTGGAGCCACAGCAGCAATGTGAGCAGCATCCTGTGCTGAAGGTCCTGCGCCACGGTGCTGGCGCAGAGGAAGCCCAGCCTGGCTGCGGTTTGTGTCACCTGCCTCTCTGCTCTCTCCTCGTGCAGCTGGTGAAGCTATGCAGTGGGATGATTGAAGCAGGCAAGGCCTACATCACCACAAACAAGCACTTTGTCAGCGGAGTCCGGGACTTGTCGCAGCAGTGCAAGAAGGATGAAATGATTTCGGTGAGTCGTCCTGCGGGACAGAGCGAGTATTGAGCTTTGTGGTGCTGTGCCTGGACTGTATGTCCAAGACCTTTATGCTATTTAAATAGCCATTTAGCGTGAGATTTTATATTAGGAGGAAAGTAGAGGCCCTCTGAGAGTGCAGTGTCGAGGCTCAGGGTGACATTCAGCATCTGCAGGGAGAGCTGAACTTTTAAGAAGCTGCAGTGCTGGCAAAGTAATTGCAATCTAGGTCAGTAAGCATCGGTTATTTGGGAAGCACAGGGAACCAGCCTGTGGAAGAAACAACTGGCGTGGTGGTTTGAGCACTAACCTGGAAAGGACGGGGAGCCTGTGGCTTCCATGCCAGCTGTTTATTGAAGCACCTTGCCAAGTGCCAGAGCGGCTCTTCAGCGGCTTCATGCGAGTCCCTCACAGCCCCCTGAGCCCCTGGGGATGCAGGGCAGCTGCTTCTGTTCACTGACAGTTCTCTTTACCTTTCTTTTGCAGGAGTGCCTGGACAAATTTGGAGACAGTCTGCAGGAAATGATCAACTACCACATGGTAAGTCAGCGCCTCCTCTTATCTCTCTGTGTGCTGATGGCAGCCTCTCACTCCAGGCCCTGCTGAGCTGTCTCCCGTGGTTGGCTTTCCAAGGTGGGATCCGTGAAGGCAATGTCTGCCAGGTTCCTGTCCCTGCACGTTGGGTAGCCAAGAGAGCTGCAGAGGGCCAGGAGATGTTGTCTCTTGCAGCTGTGTTGAAAAGGATGAGCTGTGAGCCTGTCAGAGCTCATGGGTGATCAACACTGGTGCATCCTGTGCTCTAGGAAACTGGATTTCCACAGGCTTGCAGAGCAGGTGGCGCTTAATGAAAGGACACGTGTAGTTTTGCACAGGAGCCTTTTGGTTCATTGCAGATCAAGGATGTGCAGCCAGTAATAGAGGGGTGAGGCTAGAGACCCCTTCATCGAAGGAAAGTGCGAGCTCACAAGGTCCTGCAGCGCAGGTGACTTGTTCTTTGAGGATAGCACAAGGGTTTGTAATGAGGCAGGGTCCTGAGGAGCTCTGGTAACTCAGGGCTTCAGCTACGAACAGCTTGCATGCACAGCCTGCTGGCTGCAGGTGTGGAACACGCTCTGGAGCCTGGCATTCAGATCTGTGCCACTTGGACACCGGCAAGGCTGTGAATGGGCTGGAAGTGAAGGGCTGCTTTGTTAGCTGGTGCCGTGAGCAGACTTGGGGAGCTGTGTGCAGCTCTGTGCTTAAGGACAGCACGGGACAGATTAATGCCACAGTAAAATGAAAGGAAGGAAACGTCCGGACAATGGCTGAGTTAGAAGCTGCCCCCCCAGCCATCCAGCCGCGGCATCTGTAAGCCTCGTGGAAGAGGAAGGTTCTTCATCCGTGGTGGCTCCGTGCCAGAACCACCGTTTTTAAGGCTGTAACTCGGTCAGAATTTAAAGCACAAGTGCTTTAAAGCCAAGGAAGCTTCAGGGTGCCAGCGCTGGCCTGACCCACTTTCACACCACGGTAGCCCTGTCGCAGTGCATCAGGCACGGTGCTCGCGTTTGGGATGCAGGCTAACCCCGCGCAGCTGGAGGAGAAGCTGCAGCAAGCCCACGTAATTATTTCCTGCAGCAGGTGGGAAGACAGGCTCCTAGTGAAAAATGCCAGGGGAGAAGAGGTGCTGCACACGCGGCTCTCTTAGGACTGTCAGAGTTGGGAACAAAGAGCTGTACAGCAGTGCTGGTGGGGAGGAGAGGTTGAAGAAACCAGAGTGAGCATCAGCACAAAGGGGTGATGATGCCCAAGCAGAAAAAGTCAAACCCTGCTTCCCTGAATTCTCTAAATTTCCCTCTGAAGAGGTAAGGCCTTTCCACCACGGAGAACGTGAGCCCCCCAGCATTTACCCCTCCATTCCCAGGATCGTTTTGGAGCTGCAAGGCCCAGCCTGGAGGCAGCAGCCCCAGCCAGCAAGCTCTGGATGCCGCCAGCTGCACGGCTTCCCCTGGATCCCTGCTCGCTGCCAAGAGTGGCACTTCGGGGATTGCTCTTGCCTCAGCCAACTAAGAAGCAGAAGGACTCTTCCCAGGGCTGCCAAATCCCCAGCTGACGCCGTGTAAACCTTCCCGTGCACCCCACCCCGCTCCAAAGGGGTGAGCTCCCCGCTGCAAGTGAGGCAGGGGCTGTAAGAGGAGATATTTCCCTGCCACCAGCTGCAGGGAGAAGGGGAAACGTGCTCCAACCCTCCCTCCCCCAGCTTTTGGAGAGCATCCTCCTCCCCTGGCTGCGCCGCACTGTCAGTCCCTCTCCAGGAAATGGCTTTGGAGTGACTGCTGCATCTTCCGCCCTCTCAGACCACGGCTGCTCAATTAGCAGAGTTATTTTTAGGGCCTTCTGCCGTCTCCTTTGTGTGTGTGCGTGCGTGTGTGTGTGTGTGTGTGTGTGTGTGTCTTGGCTCATCCGTGTCTGAGGAGCTCAGCTCTGAAGCAGTTGTCAGTGCTTCATCTAGGCACGTGGCCAGGGCAGTATGTACAACTGGAACAAGTTAAAAAGAAGGGAAAATGTCCCAAAAAATCGGTTGAAAAAAAAAGAGCTTGTTCTATAATTTTATTGCTAGAGCACTGGGCCAGGAGATATCCTGCTTCCAGTTCAGCAAAATCCAAGCATGAAATCCTCTTGAGCGCAGTGGATGAACCCACACAACATTTCCACCTTTCTTTTAATGCACAGAGGGGAAAAACATCAAAGCAGCCTTTGGAGACAAACGACAAAAGAGCGAGTTGAGTTCAGAGGGGCTGGAGTCGGTGTCCTGTGCCTTTTTGTGCTCTGAGCCACGTCGAGGCACGTACAGGAATCAGAAAGCTCAGCTGGGTTGTTGTACCTTTGGGCCTCAGTGCAAAAAAGCATTTCAGGTGCTTGCCTGCCCCTGAGGAGCTGCTGGGAGGATGCGCAGAGGCTCTGCTGACTGCGTGCCAGGGAAATATCAGGATTGCCAAAGGTGAAACAACACCTCAGGTAGTGGATTTTTTGCCCCAAAAAACAGAAAGGGGTGAAAGCAAGGAAAGCAGGCAGACAGGGGGTGAAGAGGACGGGTTTAATCCTGAGGTTAGAGGTGCTGGGGTTCAGGCTGTGCTCAGCCACACGAGAGGAGCTGACACGGAGCAGAAACTCCCCTGCACTCGCCGCCAAGCACGGTCCTTGCAGCACGGGGCCCAGCTGAGCTGCTGAAGGATGCAGGAACGCATCACCCCGCCGGGAGAGCTTCCCCACGTGGGCTGGAGGTGATCTGTGACAGGCAACACCTTCCCAGCTCCCCGGGTGAGATGTTGGAGCAGTGGGTGGCAGACGGCGGTGCCAGAGCCTCGCAGCATCATTCCCACACGGAGCGAACCGTGGCCTTTTTCAGGAGCCTGAGTGGCACGGACTGGAATTTTGCTCCAGGGCCTGAGGTCTCCCACGTGAGCCCTCCTCCTCGCTCCATACCACACGGCAGGCAATAAATTGTGACTGTGCCTTTGCCAAGCTCTCCCGTGCTGGAAAAGCTTCTTGCTTGTCTACAGACAGACGCTGTGCTCGCAGCTCCGAACCCTGTGTGTTTGTGGGCTTGCCTCCTTCTTCCTTATCACCCTCCCCAAAACACAAAACGGGTTGAAAAGCTTTAGCCATCTGCCAGGCTATTAGCTGGGAGAGAACAGCTTTCCCTCTTCTTACAGAGTTTGATGGATGTCATTAAGTAGCTGAGTCTAACGAGATCTCCCCAGAGGTAAAGCAGCTTGAAATTGCCACCAGGTCCAGAGCAATACCTTATAATTTTGGGCTCCTGGACTTCCCTTGTGAGGCCAGGTGGGGGTGTTTGTAATTCCAGCAGTGCAGAAACCCCTGGGGGTTTCCACCCCATGGCCAAAAAGTGTTAAACCATAGATTTAGAGTGGATTGCTGCTTGCTGTCTGGATTAAGAGAGATGAGAGATACCCAACAAGGGTAGTTCAGAGCTGTCAGCACCCACTTGCAAGGAGCTGAGGAAGGAGAGGCTGCAGGTGATGCACTGGGCAGGAGTGTGGGGATGCACCAAAGCGTGGCTCTGCCCCACAGAGGGAGCTTTGCCACCAACCCATCGCCCTGCACGAGCCTTGGAAGGAAATACGGGGGTCTGCAGCACAGCCTCGGCACATCAGGTCAGCCCTGGGGGAATGGCTTTCCCCGGGGAGGTGAAATCCGATGTGAAATGGGATGGCGTGAGGGTTTTTACTGCTAATTCCTGATTGCTGTTAAGTGGAGGGAGGAGCTGGGGGCTGTGTGCTGGTGAGCTGGAGGATTTCCTACTCACATCCTCGGATGAAAGCACCTCGGGGCGGAAAGGAACGGGAGCAGATGTCTCTGGGTGTTGTTTGGCCTTCCTTTTGGGGGCACGTTTCCTTCCTGAGGGTCTCCTGGCTATTTACACGGGAAAAATTCCTTTCTATTTCAGGAACGTGGGACTCCCGTGCTGAGTTAGGAGTCTTTTGTGGAGTCTTTGTCCTCGAGGCAGCCCTCTGTAGCCCGCGGAGCAGGGAGGAGATGCTCGCTGGATTCCTCTGGACTAGCTTGTCCTGGGGAATTCCTAGGGGCAGCCCAAGCCCAGGGGAAAGACCTGAGTCACCAGAACCAGGGAGAAAGATTTACTGAGGGAATCGCTGCCAGGATTGCAGGCAAACGTGGAAGGAGCCTCCCGAACGGGATCCTCCCAGCCACATCTCCATTCACAAGAGCGGTTTCATACCGTGAAGCCTCTTGGGCCATTTCAAGGCCTTGCAAAAGCATCTCGGGGCGTTCTGTGTTCATAGTCCACATTCCAAAGCAGTCTTCATATCAGGGGCATGAAGTAATGTGGCTGACTGCACTGACATGGGCTCGCTGCTGGATAAACAGCGTGTGGGACACGGGAGCCGTGTGTGGGGACGGGGTTATGCCTTGCTGTTAGAGTCGGTTAAAAAAAAAAGTGGAAAAAGGGGAAAAAAATAAACTTTTCCCTGAAAAAATAAGTCAGTGGGAATCAAAACACTGAAAATCCTCCAGCAGCTCCCACCTACAAAGCCTCCCTCCCTTTAATCTCTCCGGCAGCAGGGCTCTGCCAGCCTCCGCGCCTGCTTCCTGCCATCCCTCCCTGCCCGCGCTTTCTTCTTGCTCCTTCCCATGCGGCTCCCCCTCTCTGTCTGATCAGCGAGATAAGAAAAGCAAAAGGAGGTGGGTGAAGGTGTTGTGAAACGGCTCCGGCTGAGCCCCTGAAGCGCTCCTCCAGCAGCACCAGGTATTTTTTTAGCTCAGGAGATGCGATGTGAGCGCTGCCCTCACCGGTACTGCTCCAGGCAGCCCCGCTGAGACCTGAGCATCCCTGCCTGCCCCAAAGCACCGGGCACGGGGATCCTCCAGGAGCAGGAGCAGCTTGCAGGGGGGATCGGGCTGTGCAGGAGGCGTTTCCTGCTGCCGAGAAGGAAAGCCACCCAGGCTGTGATGAGTCAGGGAGGCAGAGGTGGGTGGAGGGCAGCGACGGAGTTCGGGGGAAGCGAAAGCAGAGTGCTCCCAGCCTGCCCGTGCTCCCCGGGGCTGGGAGAGCACCACCTGCACTTGGATAGCACTTGGGAAGGGTCTGGGTGCATCAAGCTACCTAGTAAGGGATGTCATTTGTGGCTGCAGAATCCCTGGCAGCCTTTGAACTGAAAAACTTGGAAGTTTGGAGCTTGTTTTGAGAGCGACTCAGTTTTAGCTCGGTTGGGAAGCTGGGCGCAGGCTGTTGACATCCCACAGGCATGACGGAGGTGGTGCTGGTGGCTTGTTTTCCAGAGCACACGGCCTCAAGTGAGCCGTGTAACAGAGGCATCACAGGTGGAAGCTCTTCCCGGGTGGCATTTATCGGGTGTGCCATCGCTCGGGAGGCATAGGACCAAGCCACACAGCCAGCCTGGGATAAAAGGCACTGAGGCATCCCTTGGCAGGCAGAGGATGCTCAAAATCTGCCCCGTAGGTTACTACATTCAGCTGCTAGAGCTGCAGTGAAAGAGAATTAAACTATGGGAATGTGAAATCAGGGAAAAATGTAGATGTCATCGCTGAGCTTGATTCAGGCAGCTGCAGTGGTGGTTACGTGCTTTTTCCAAAGATACTCAGGCACACCCTGGACTCAGGACAGACTGAGTTAGCACCTGGGGCCTGGAAAACCTCTGTGCAGTTCTTCAGCAGCCGAGGTGGTGGAAGAGAAAGGGATGTTCCCCCAGCAGCAGAGCATGCAGTCTCTTTAAGCTGTTCCCATTGCAGCACCAAATCGGGATGTCGGAGGCTGTTGTCCTGCTTCGGGGCTGTAAGTGCTGAGAGAAGCAGCCCCCAGCCCGATGCTCCCATGTTCTTTTTAGCTCCTGCTTTGCCTTGGAGCCTGCTGGGAGCTCCTCTCGTGGGCGCTGCTGGGATTAACGTGGAAATAGCAATAGCATCCCTTTGGGTGTCTCATCTTGTGTGTCGTGATTTAGGTTTGTAATTCCAGGAACACGAGCCTGGCCCCCTGAGCTTGCTGTCATTTTGGGGGGAAAAGAAGTTGCAAATATGGGATTTCTTATCCCCTTGCCTGAGAAGCTTACGCTGGGGGAGTGAAATGCAAGACCCAGCCCCTCGGTGCTGGGCGAGAGCTGCGTTACCTCCTCTCTTCCGTGCTGACCCTCCCCGAGCCCAGCTGTGCGTGAGTCACGGGCTGGACTTCTCGTGTCCTGCCGCAAGCTGCGAGAGAGGGTGGGGTGGGTTTTGGTCTGGAAAATCTTAACCCAAAAGATTCGTTCCAAGTACGTCTGGGAAAGGAGAATCAGCCAAGGAGTGGTTTTATATTTGAAATTCTAGGTCTTAAAGCCCCGTCTGTTTTGCCTTGGAAATCAGGTGGAGGACCTGCTTGCAAATATTCCCCTGGAGAAATTAAAGGAGCGATAAGAGGGGCGCTGGTATCTCAGGATGCTTCTGTCCCTGCTCACCCTGGTGGAAACCAGGGACGGCAGGCCTCCAGCTGGAGGTGCTGGTGGAGGCCAGGAGGTTTTCCTGCAGTTTGCCCGTTCCTTTGCGGTGTCACAGGTCAGAAGGAAATGTTGTGGATGCACAAACGGCACTCGGGGAAGCTGCTCCATGGGAAACGTTGCGGGCCAAGGGCTCTTGGAGCGCACCCTGGGAGGGCAAACGGATGCCAAGAGGAGCGAATAACTTACACGGGTGTAAAAACGCAAAGCTGGGTGGTCTTTGGGTTTCCTTTCTTTCCCCCTTGCTTTGCATCTGTTCGTATTTAGAGGCCGTTCCTGGCTGTTTATGCTCAGCCAGCCCTGGCGTGTTTCTTGCTTTGTCCTTGGCTGCGGCGCTGCATGGGATGAATCTGCGTGAGGCTCTGCAGCCGCTGAGACCTTGTGGTGCTGGAGTGGTACACCTGGACAGCATCAAAAGCATGGCCTGCTCATCTCCTGGTGGGAGACGTTAGGTGGGAGGGCATCTGTGGATGGACGAAGGAATGAGCCTGGGGGTTTCGTAAGGTCCTGGTGTCATGGGTGGAGACTGCTCAGGCGGAGAGCATGGACCGTGCTCCAGTGGGTGAAGGCAGGAAAAAAAGCCCTTCCCCAAGGAAACCATCACAGTTTCTCAAGCTACAGAATAAGGATGGGCAGAACCATCCTCCTGATGCCTCTGATGGATGGAGGATGTTAGGGCTCTGGGCATTTAAGGAGAGGAAGCGAGGCCGAATGCTGGGTTGGGAAGCGCCGCTCCTTTCATGAGAAAGGCACAATCATTGCTGTGTGTCCTCCGTTCAGCTGCTGCTCAGGACACGATGCTAAGCTGGAGCAAACGAGCCAGGGTTACTCGTGCCAAACAGCTGCGATGCCAGACCCCAGCACTGATATTTCAGGGCTTCGTTCAGGTTTGGGCCAGTGCCCAGGTCTTGTGCTCCTGCTGGGGGGATGAAACGGGGTCCCTGTCCCTCCGTGAGCCACTCTTGCTAGCTGCAGCCTGCCCCAAAGGCTTCTCTGTGTCACCCTGGGATGCTGTGCCCTCCCTGTGTGTGGTCTGGGAGCCTGGCCCTCTGTTCCCAATTAGCCAAAACGCTGTGCATCCCGAGCCCTGTCTGAAATGGGGAGTTGCTTGTAGCCATGGCCAGCGGAGACGTGGAGGGGGGGCGCTGAGCAGACCCCGCTGTTGTGGCATCTAACGGGGAACTTCTCGTGAAGGTCTGGAGATGGTAAGGGCAGAGGGTGTAGAGAAATGGTCCCATGTTTTTTTGGTGAGGGATAGACAAAGTTGAAAAGATTTGTAGGAACTAATTCTTTTAATGCCTTATACTTGGACTTCTTACCCATGCTTGTCAGCGTGTGGTCTGATGGACCTTCAGAGGTGGCTCCTGTCTCCTTCCCAGGGGTGACAGTGCCCTCCTCTGGCAAATTGAGAAATCTGGGGCTTGGGGGAGACTTCAGAACGGACTGAAGGCAGCTGCTCCTACAAACACTCACTTTTCCTTTTTTTTTTCTCTTTTTTTAGATCCTGTTTGACCAGGCTCAGAGGTCTGTCCGGCAGCAGCTGCACAACTTTGTGAAAGAGTGAGTATGTGTCCTATCAGCTCGGTCTGCAGCTTCTATCGCACCTCTCCTGCGTGCACTGGAGCGAACACAACCTCTGCCCAGCTCCCCAGGGCTCTGCTTGGGGCAAAAGAGACACGGAGGGGCAGAGTAAAGGACTTCTTGGTGGGGTGGCTGTTGCTGTCATCTCGCTATGATATAATTTGGTTGCTCTGCTGTCAACCGGATGGATTTATCCTGTTCCCAAGTCCTATTTAAAGCAGGACGTGAAGGATACTTGCAGAGCAGAGCAGCATCCCAAAGCCTGGCAGAATTCAGCTGCAGAGCCCACCTCTGCTTCCCCTCCCTGAGCCTAGAGGTAAAACACCTCCCAGAGCTCAGATCCGTGCGGAGCAGGACCAGCTCTGCATCTGTTCCCTTAGGATAAATGTAGGATTTTCTCTGTGGCTTAACCCAGTGCATGCTCCCAGTTGGGATGGGGACAGCCTGGACCTTTGATGGGGTCTCAGCTTTCCTCACTGGCACTGCGTTAAACGCTTCCTCTGCGAGCATCTCCTCCCCGGGGCAGGTGCCACGTGCAGCGTGGGATCCCGAATCAGCTGAATGTAGGTCAGAGGCAGCCCAGGCCTCCAGCTAAGCAGGAGCTGGTTTCCATGGGAACTGGGAACTGACCGAATCCCTCACAGCTGGCTGGTTTGGTGCAGGGGGGCCCCCAGCTGACCCCCCTGCTCCCCAGCCCCATCTTCTTCCCTAGCCCTCACCCTGCCCCCACTTTCTCTATAATCATTTCTCTGATGAGCTCAGATTTAATCTGCTTAAGGCTGGCAGTCGGAAGGGGGAATTTCACCTTCAGTTTGGGGCTGTCATCCTTTTAGCATCTTTGCAACTTACTTTTTCCCCTACTTGTGCCCCTGAGCCTCCGCACTTGCAGGCTCTGGTGCCTGGATCTCTGCACTGCTCCTGCCCTGGATTGGGGAAATAATTTTGACACCTGGGAATAAAGGAAGAATGGGAACTGTTCCCTTGCATGGCAATCCATAAATATGAAATATTGTTTAATAATATTTGCAAATTATATATAACAATATATTTATATGTATTTTTATATATAATTATCTTTTTATATATAATATGCAAATATTATTAAATGAGCCTAGTAAACAAGGGGAAAAGGAAAAGTCCAATGTCTGGAATTTGTCAGACAAAACAGAATCAGCTAGAGATGCACATGGATGGCCTGCTTGCCCTTGTTGAATGCCCTGAATTTGAAAAGTAGCTGGTTTCCTTCTGTTTCACATCACGGAATAGGAAGTTTTTACAGGCAGGCTCTGAACCATTCTGCTCACTGCTTATTCCGAGGGCAGTCGTGGGCTGTCTGTAGGGCTGGATGTGGTCTTGCCTGGCTTTCTGGATGCTGTCCTTGGAGGATTTCCTTCAAGATTTAAAGGCAGCATGGAGAGCCCAGTGTCTTTCCTGGCCAAGTTTCTCTGAAGACTGTCTAGAATTAGTCTGGAGTCAGTCCAGCTAGACACAGTGGCACTTGGAGAGGTCGTTAACATGCCAGTGACACTTGAAGCAAGATCTCAGAGTGGTGGCAATGAACTTGGCTTCGCCTCTCCCTGCTCTGCTGTCCCAGCAGTGTTGTGGCTGCTCTGTAACGATGATTCCCACCATCTCCTCTTCTCTGGGTTCCAGTGACGTCCGGAAATTCAAGGAAACCAAGAAGCAGTTTGACAAGGTACGAGAAGACATGGAGATTTCGCTGGTGAAGAACGCCCAGGCACCTCGGCACAAGCCCCATGAAGTGGAGGAGGCAACGGGCACCCTGACCATAACCAGAAAGTGCTTTCGGCACCTGGCCCTGGACTACGTGCTGCAGGTTGGTGTCTGCCCACGGCTCTGTCTGCGCCTCGCAGTGCAGAACAAGACCTCACAGGCAAACTGCTAAATCTGCTGTAGGGAATGAAGAAAATGACAGGTGGAAGGAGACAAAAAGGGTCTTACCTCTGCATTCAGAAGGGTTTGGGCTTGCTAATTCATGGGATGTTTTGCCCCATGTCCTCAGGAGCCAGAGAACTGGTGTGTGAGGGAGTGTGAAGCTGTCAAAGTTTGCTCCAGTTGTAGGCACTGGTGGAGTTGTCTGTGCACAGGGTGCAGATAACTTCTGTTGGAGGTCTCTTCCAACCTATATTACGCTACGAGTCCGTGCTGAAATGTGTTTATACATGTTTCTGCCTTTGCATGGCACTGACCTGACTCCACAGGTCTAAGTTCTCCTTCCTAAAAATGCTACAGCATAGATGAGAAGGGAAATCTCCATCGCCTTTCAGTGAGAGGAATTAAACAGGCTGCCCTAGACTGAATTCCTCTTCCCAGTGGGAGATTTGCTGCGTCTGAAATGGTGAAGGATTTTTCTCTGTATCATTCACAGGCTTCGTGTCAGGTCTGTCCTTCCAGGCAGTGGGCGTATTGAGCAGCCGAACTGTGTTAATATTGATCCGTGTGTGTCTCCACTAGCTGTCACTCCCGCAGCACCAAGCAGAGACCATCTGCCAACAGGCTCTGTGTGATCATCAGGCAGTGCCTGATGGCACAGACGCTCTGACAGTCAGCCAGGCACTTTTGTCTGAAAAATGGGTGTGGAAAGGGTGTGCACACACACAGAATATAGGCCCACCACAAGTACCACAATTTCATGGCCTGGTTCCACAATAGTTATTGGGTAAGCCCATGGTGCTACAGCGCTGCCTCTCAGCCTGCTAAGGGAAATCAAAGCAGTGTCCTGGTGGATTAAACATCTCCGTGTGATGCCAAATGGCACTCTGGGGTCACTGGTTTCAGCCTGTGTACAGCCATGGGTCCAGCAGTAACCTCCATTAGTAGGAGCCTCCAACAGAAAATGTCTCTGCTCTTTTACTTTTCATTCCACTTGGAGCTTGCAAGAACTGCCTTTTCAGGAGCTAATTTTCTGTAACTGTACTTGACTAGTCCGGTTTGCAGCTAGGGGCATTGCAACAAGTTGCTCCTGCTTAAATCCCCATGTTGGACTGCCTAATGCTGCTGATGCTGAGAGTCTTATCTTGATCCCTTCACAGATCAACGTCCTGCAGGCCAAGAAGAAGTTTGAAATCCTGGATGCGGTAAGGACTCTGTTTTCTGTGGCTGCTCTCAGTGTCTCAGGGAAAGGCAGCCCTCTCCATTCCAGGCTGCACGGGTCAGCATCCCAGCTACTTGGTCTGCCACAGAGATGCTGTCTGGGGCAGTTTTGGGGGCTGCAGGGATGCTAACGAGAGGGGAGGGTGAAGGAGCAGAGCAGAACTCCCCAGGCCAGAACTGGAAGGGACTTTCAGGGGGGAAGGATGCTGCTTGTAGTGCTTTCTGCTCAGAACAAGTGGAAGCATGGCCTTGTGGAAGGATTTGTGAGAGGAAGAAAGAGGGAGAGTCACCTAGTGGATAGGCTGCTATAGGAAAGTGGTAGAGCTGTGCCTTGAGGGACTGTTTTTATGGAGAATAAAGGATAAGGACTCTTCACACTGTCCCAGAGCCTGTTCTGACCTTGCTTTTGTTCTTCTCTCCAGATGCTGTCCTTCATGCACGCCCAGTACACCTTCTTCCAGCAGGGCTACAGTCTTCTCCATGAACTGGATCCCTACATGAAGAAGCTTGCCACAGAGGTGAGAGGCAGGGAATTGTGGCTTTTCTCCCCTCTGCCCTGAGAGAATGTCCTCGTTCCCCTTCAGCTACCAGACCTGGTAATCAGGGAGTGTGGTCAGAGCATCGTGCTAAGCCCTGTGCTCGTTTGAGCTGTGCCCTGGGCTGAGCACTGTGGTTAGCAGCCGACAGCTGCAGTTACTTGCAGTGCGCACCCAAACGAAGCCCAACAGACTTTTCTCCCTCTCGTGGGGACTTGCAACAAGGGGAGGGTTGGTGTAATGCTAGAGCAGGGAAGCAGAAATGGATTCATCAGCTTGTAAATCTCCTTCCTGACTTCCTGGTGTCCTCCTCCCCACCTTTAGCTCGACCAGCTGGTGATTGACTCTGCAGTGGAGAAGAGGGAGATGGAGCATAAGCACGCGCTGATACAGCAGAGGGTGAGTCCTGAGGCTGAGTCCTTGGCCAGAGTCCCTCCTAAATCACCCAGGAAACAAATGCACGGCTGCATTCCCTTGGCACACACGGACAGAGCTTGCTGCAGGGCCCTTTCTTCATTCACAGCGAAGCTCACGCTGCACTGAAACGATGTGGAGGGTTGTGGGAGAGAGGGGGCAGGACTCGGTGCTGCTACTGGGAGAGGAGCATGCTTGCAGCGAACTTTTATGCAAGTCTGTTCCTAACTGCTTGCTAAGTGATTCAGTTGCTATAATTGGGAATAACCACCATGATCTGGCAAGCTGCTAGGATCTATTATCAGACAAGTCGTAGCTTTCAGAAGAGAGGTAACTTTGGCTAATGTGGACTCTGATTTTCCGGACCATTCATCTAGGCAATGATCCCAAATCCTTGTAGTAACGTTGATTTTCTTATTTTCCTTCTCTTAATGGATTGCTGACCTGCCCGTGCAGACCCTCCTGCAGGTGAGTACCACAAATTTCCTTCCTCCAGCACCTTCATTTTTCAGAATTAGCACTTTGTTTCTCTGGATGTTTACAAAGTCCTGCCTTTGAAACCCCCCCCCAAAAAAAGAAACCTTGCAACATAGTGCTGCAACATAAACACTAGAAATGTAATTTTAAAGCCCAGTTTCAAGTGAATTTGGTTTCATTCTCACCAAAGTTGTTTTCCATCCTGTGCTGAAATAAGATTTCAGTTTCCTCTGTTCTCTGTGATGGTTGGTCTTGACTCAGAGCAGTGGCAGCCGTGCTTGGCTGCCACATTTTTGGCTTTATTTCTGGTGCTTAGGATCTTTGAAGACCATGGGTCTGATGGGAGGAGAACTGGCTGTACAGGCTTCGACCTGAGGGCAGTGGTGGGCTTTCAACACATGCAAACGTTTCGTAAAAATACAAAATGATGGTCCCCAGCCCACAGAGCACTGTGCAGGGGGGCGTTGTGTCCTGTGTGGGTAGGAAGGGTTTGACTTGTCGTGGTGGATGGATGACAAGTGTGCGATGCTTTCCGTGCTGTGCATTTGCCTTTTCCCGTGTGTGCTCCCTGGTCCATTAGCCAGCATCATGTAACATAACCTCTGCAGAGGGAGATGGGCTGCAGCAGCTTTTCCATTCAAGTCTGTTTAAAAGCTGTCCCACAGGAGATGACAGCAGCAATGCTGGGGAAGCCAAGGGAAGCCAAGCCGTCCTCAGGGAATACAAAAATGCTTGCCAAGGCGTTGATGGCTTGCTGTCGTTTTCAGACCCGGAGTTTAAGCCCTACCAGGGTTTTAACTCGCAAAGAATCCTTTAGCAGTGAAATAAGAGCTAGAGAGGTAGAGCAAAGCCAAAGAATGGAGAAAGATTCAAGCTGCACGTAGATAGCTGACAGGATGAATTAAAACCTGGCTTGTTACTGGAATGATGAATGTATAAGGCAGGTACTTGCGTGGATCAATACTCCTTAACAGGAAGGAAGCAACTGGCCATTTTTCCCCTTCTAATGCTCTCTCAAAAGTGTCATAACGCATGAAATGGAAACGTAACTGGATTTGAAAGTTAATGACAGGCATTCCCTGGGAAGCGTCCTGTGCATGTGCTCCCTGCGGTTAAGTGTTCCGAGGGAGGGGAAGACCCATCTGTGACCTCTCCCTTCCCCTGGGGACTCTGCAGGAGTGATGACTTCATTCGAGGGACTGTGGAAGGTCTCTCTGGTGCTGTTCATTTCGGTTAAATCTCTTTCCACTGCATGGCTTTCAATGGGCTAGCAGGGAACGAAGCAGGGGTCGGGCTCCAAGAGGGAGAAGGAGCAATTATTTTTCACCAAGATAAGGTATGCGTAGAGCTGTGGCTCCCTGTGTGCATAGGCTTGCAAGAGAGCTGAACATCCCTACTGCACTTTAGGGTTTAAAGCTTCCTGCCTGGATGTGTTTTGAGGCTGCTTTCTGGCTGCACTGGTGTCGCTCCTCACCATGGAGCGTGGCACCCTGCATCTGCTGAGCATCTCGCCATCTCCAAAGGGAGCACAGCACACGTCTGAATTCATGTCTTCCTGCTCAGCCCGTCCAAACCCAGGGATATCCTCTGGTCTTTGGAAAAAAAAAGGATTTAGTAGCACTTAACTATAGAGGAATGGGGGAAACATCTTTTTTTTTTAATCAAACCAGTGTCTTCCTGAACAGCCTGCCAAGGTACAGCAGAAAGGAAGGGAATCCAGTGTAAAAAACACTAGTTTGGAGTGTTCCTTGGGGTCTGATGGCACAGTTTTTTCACATTGAATTACCTTAAGGGTAGCTTTGTGAGGGCAGCCTTCTAAAAGCCACGTTCCTAACAAAGTGGTCTCTTCTATTTTTTTAATCAAAAAAAAAAAAAGATAGGAGGGAAATTCAGCATCAATCTCAACTATTTTCTTTGATACTGGAATTCAGGTGCCTTTTCTTATGCCTCCCTCTCCCCCACCTTCCTGCATGCAGCATCTGCCTCCTTTTGTGTCGATTCCTAGGGCAGCTATCACTTCTGGCTGTCATTTTAACTGCTGCCCTCTCTGCCTTTCCAGCTCCAAAGCCTTAAAGAGCTCCACTTGCAGCTTCACGCTGCATATCAAAATAACACTCCCTTGTACAAAAAGGGTGCCAATGAAACTAGCGGAAGGATGAGTCTATTTTTATGGGCTACAATAAATATTTGAGTTATCCTTCTGGTGTGCAAAGAGAAGAGAGGCTTAGTGAGAAGGGCAGGGGTGCCTCTCTCCTGTGTGCATGGGCTGCTTGTGTGAAAGGAGTGCTTTATGGAAGACATTTGTGCAAAAGGCTGTAGAGAGAGTCCTGTTATTGGCCGTATTTCTTGTGCACTGAGATAATCTGTCTGAAATCACACACATAATACGTTTGTTTGCACGTGGGCTCAGTTGATGGATGCACAAAGGCACGTGGGCTGGTCCAGGTTGGACCACGTAGGTGAAACACCGCCAGAGCGCAAGCGTGGGAAGCTTTTCCAGTGGGAAAAGGGGGAAGAAATGGTGGCACTTAAACAAAACTGCCGGTCTCTGGAAGTGGAAGAACACAGGGCTGTACAGAAGCTGCTTTGCAGCCTCATACCTATTCCCTGGTCCCTGGCAGAGAAAGCAGTTGTGCTTCTGCTGCCTGTTTGCATGGCAAGGGAGGAAGGAGTGCCAAGGCAGAGCTCTCTGCCTCATTTAGCCCAGCTGGTAAATAACAACCCGGGGGCCATATGGCACTTCAGCACCCCGAATTCACGGCTGCAGCGGAGCAGGGGTGGAATTGCTGGCCCAAAAGGTGGCCCTGCTCCCAGGAGCAGACCCTGCTGAAGGCAGAGGAGCGTGGTAAGGTCAGGGGACAGGCGGGGAGCATCTTCCTGTCAACCCCGCTCTGTGCTGCCTGGCTTCTCCCACTCCCTCCTGTGCCTCCCTGACAGCTGTATGGTAATTAGCCCTTGCTCTAAGCTGATTGCCTGTGAATAGAAGGCATGGGGAGGGGGCAAGCAGGTGGTCCCCAGGGGCCAGCCAGCTTCCTTCGCCTGGTGCCCCTCGCTTTGACAGGAGCCAGCGGCAGAGCTTGCAGCCTCCCAAAAAGGAGTAGGAGGGGTAAAGGAGAAGGGGCTGAAAAAGAAATCCCTCCTTCCCTGCCAGCCCACGGTGCTTAGCAGAGATGCTACTCTAGAGAGCGAGCAGAGAGAGGAGAGAGAGAGAGAGAGGACAGAGCTGCTCCCTGCAGAACCTCCCCGGCAGCTGGCATCATGAAGATTTTCAGCAGGCTTGAATACCTCCTGGTAAGGAGATGGTTCCTACAGGGTTGGTTCTTGGGGAGAAAGGTTAGGGGGCACTTTGCCTTGGGGGAGCAAGGAGGGTTGCCTGTAGGAGTGTGTTTGCTGATGCGACCCTAAAGCAAGTCCAGCTTTATTGCTGTAGGACAGCAAATGTGTTTGGTTTTGTTTGCGGGATGGAAAAGGGCAGGGCATGGATCTCTGAGCATCATCTGCTGGCAAGCTGCAGAGCAGGGGGATCGTTTGGCATTAGGGAACTCCAGAAACAAAAGGTCTGTAAATGGGATTTTGCTGGAATGAACAAAAGCTGTGCAGAATGGGAATGCGTGTGGGGGAGCCCTCCTCCGAATTCCATCTGCTTCGGAGGGTGCCTTGGGCTGTGCAGTGTATACACAGGGGTAAAAATAGCCAGATAGAGAGAGGCTTGAAATCCAGTCAGGCACCAGAAGAGAACAGAATGTGCGTGCAGCAGTGTTTGTGTGGAAGGGGGCGTGTGCCTCCGTGGGGAATGTGAATATTCCTCTGAATTAGGTTCTGCTCAGCATCGGAGCCAAACTAGGCACGCAGCGTTGCACTTACCTCGGGAGAAGCTCTTCTCTGCGCTCGGGTGTGCATAATGGCAAATGGTGAGCATCGTTGGTTACCTAACAAGTGAAGGAAAGCACTTTGGGGTAAAGCCTTTGTTTTCTCTGAAGGCGAGCAGTTGTCACGCGTGCTGTCTGTTACCTTCAATGGTATTGATTGGAAATAAAATCCCGTGGAGTTTATTTCTCTGTGTTCCTCTGAGTATCTTCAGCTGTACTGAGATGATCCACTGGTCGGGATTGCCTGGTTTGGGGAGCTTTTCTATCACTAAAAATCAAAACATGCAGAGAAGTGCAGTCACGATGTCTACATCGAAGTGGTACAGTGAGGTGTTAATGCTGTGGCTCCTCAGGAAGGCCACTGCCATGATAAGAATATTTTAAAGAACTGTAATGAAGTTGATGTTTCACAGAAAGCTTCTCTCTGTTCTCAGCTAGGTATTGTGCCCTTTGGGACTGGAGCAAACCTGCGCCAGGTGGGCAGAAACGAGACCTCCCTACTGCAGCAGGTGCCTCTGAGGCAGGGCTCCTTGCCTGGCAAACATCCCCCTGCCAAAAATATCCGGGGGATGAGGGCATCTTCACCCCTCGTGGTAAGGCTGCTCACTGAAGCTGTATTTAGTCTGACCAGGCATCTCTCTGCGTGAAGTGCTGGCTTCACAGGAGCAAGTGGCAGAGCTTTGGCTGCCCTCTGCAGCGTGCAGTCCCTGTGCATGCTGCGTGCAGATGGACGAGGGAGTTTGCAGCCAAAAGGGGCAAGAGATGCCCTCTAAATAGGGTTTTCTTTTTTTCTTTCCTGGATCCGTTTGTGGCTGTGCCTGCATTGGGTTTTTCATTTCGTTTTCTGGTTCGAGTGTCCCCCTTAATTCCTTTTTCACATCCCTATGGCCGTGTCTCTTGGAATTTGTTAATTCATTGTCATTTCGGCAGCAGTCAGCGTGCTCCCGTGGAAACCGTGCTGGCATCCTTTCTAAAAGAATATCAGCTCCTGGGCATCCGTGTGTGCAACCTCAGGGTGACAGGGCCAGCGAGGCCAGGCCAGTTTGATTTACTGGAAATGGATGACACGGGGAAGCAGATGATGGCAGGGATTCGGTTTCTTGTTTTGGGAGAGAAAGGATTTATTTAACTAATGTGGGATCCAACGTGTCACTGCTGTTTCTAATCGCATGCACAGTTGTAACCCAAGCCATGCAGACCCCAGTCCTAGGAAGCCTTTTCCATGTCGAGCATTTTTCATGCAGCAGAGACAATGAGGTGCTAATTGCAGACTGAATAAACGGGTCCAAACCCACTGAGAGCAGACTCGTCCGATCCGTGCACGCAGCGATGATGGGAAGAAATTGGTGAAAGGAGATCTATGAAAACCATGTGTTAGTGTCACACGTAGCAGGGAAGGGAAAGGGGGCTCTTACCCTGCTTGTCAGGCCTTTTAAAGTGAGGTTTGAACCCAGAAAGTTGCCGGCTGTTGTGGAATGGGCGACACGTTCCTTCACCAGCAGCTCCCAGACACAGCTGGGAAGGCTTGAGAAGCTGGGAAGTTTCTCCTTGGTTTTACCTCTTGGCTGTATGAGCTGTTCCTGCACCTTTTGCTTCCAGTCTTTGCCCGGCTGAGAAAGCAAAACCAATACTGATCGGGGATCGTTGCTGGATTTATTTTTTTTCCTTCCCTTTTCCTTTAGTTTGTCCTTCACTACATAAGCTGGTAGCAAAGACCTTAGCAGAGAGCAATGAACTGGAGCAAGCTGCCCCTGAGGATCGGCCCGGGGGATGCCCAGGGACAAGAGGCAGGCTGCTCCTTATTCCTCAGCTCCCCCTTGACTTGAGCCTACTTTACAAATCCAGCTTACAGGTCTGGCGGGCATCCTGCCCTCAGCTGCCCTGCAGTGGCTGCGTTGACCTCAGCGGAGTTGCTCAGGGATTACAGCAGCAGAAACACGTGCAGAATTTGGCCTGGGGATGTTTCCTACCCAACGAGGAAAAGGGAGAGAGAAATAGCATCCAAGTAATGTAGCACCAGGCAGCCTTTCTAGCAATGTGGTGCCAGGTTTGGGCACCATCCAGATAGCTCTGCCTCCTATGAGCTGCGGGTGTGCTTGGTGTTTTGGGGTTAATTCCTTCTAAAACCGGGTTTGGTGCGGGTCAGGGTTCCCTCAAAGGCAAGGAACAGCTCCACGTGCCTTCAGCTCCTCTGCTTCAGCCCTGCGGGCTGTGGAGAGGGGTAACACAACGAAGGCTCCACGAGGTTAAACCCACACCTGGCTGGACTCCGCTGGCTTGCAGTGGATTTACTCTGACGCACGTGGCCCATCTGTTCCCCCTGCTCTCACCACGCAGCACCCTTACATAAGGGCAGCTGAGATCACGGGGGGTGTTCAGACCCTCACCTCTGCTTTTACAAACCCCTTCCACCAGGTGTCATTTCTAAGAAGCCCTTGGAAGGGTTTTTGAGCTGTGTGCTTCCCAGCAAAGTCCTTATTTTGGGGTATTTGCACGATTTGTCATTGACCCATGCAGATTCTCACCAAATTTATTGAGTCTCACTTTGGAGCAGCTCTACGGAAATCACGCACTCAGATGGCCACGGGTTAGAGGCAGATTTCCTCTAGCCTTTGTTTGCAATACAAACATGAAAGGCGTCTGTGGAAGAGACCCCCCGTGGGAATCACCCTCGTACAGCAAGAAAATTTGGGGCAGGGCAGGCTCGTTTAATTGGGTGCCTTTCAGCCGCGTTCCCGGTGCTAATTGGGCATCACGCTGGCTTTCCGAGGCATGACTCAGCCCTGTCCCATTACATCCCCTCCTCCTGCATCAGTATTATTCTGCTGATGACACCTCCCGGGCGAGCTGGCATCTCCGAACGTGCAAATAACTCATCCTAATGAGGGCCGAGCGCGCGTTGCCAAGCGACGCAGCATCGCCAGGGTCTTCGTCTGCAGGGCTCGAAGGCACGCACATTAATGGGGCTGCTCTTCACTCTGCTCGGTCTTTGAACCGAGCCACACAGGGAAAAATACTTGAACTCAAGAGAAAAGGAAGCGTGGGTGGGATGCATCGGGAAATGGGTGGGGGAAGAGAAACGCGCCGCAGCTCCCCAGGTTAGGGGGCAGTCAGGTTTCACGACCTGGTTTCTCAGGGGAAGGAGGCAGATTGATGCCCAGGGAGGGTAATCCCATGTTCTGCGGGAGCAGCTGCTGTGCTCCCTGCTCCGTGGCGTGCTCGCCAGCTGTCAGAGTCCACGAGGGCTGTGGTGAATCAGGGCCAGCCCTGACAAATCACCGCTGACTGGTGGCATACCGGAGAGACTCGTGCGAGTGCAGATTGGAGATGGCAGATGATGATAGCTAATGAAAACGGGATTGATCCGTCTTCTTTACCCTCTGGAAACCATCGTTCTGCCTTTCCTTGTGTGAGAAGGTTGGGATTTGCTCTGTTCCTGGCCCCCTAAATGTAGAGGTACAGCAGCACCGCTGAGTGCGTGGCCAGGTGTAAAGCACCTCCATCACCTTCCCATTGCAGGCTGCCCCAGACGTTGGGAGCTTTTAATCCTCACAATTACAAGCTACCTGCCTTTCTACTTGCCAGCTACTAGAGTGGGAAACACAGCACATATAGGACGTTCTCCAGGCAATAGGGACAGATAAGCTTAGGGCAATGAGGACAATTCCTGCCTGCAGCCCCCTGAGGCAACGGGATGTGCTGTGAGAGACAGCCCTGCCTGGATGTCAGGGTCTTGAAAGAGTCTGGGTCAGGACAGAGTCTGTCTCTTTCTATTTGCAGGACTTCTCCTACGATGACTCAAAGGTGGAGTTCAACGTCGATGCCCCAAATGGAGTGGTAATGGAAGGCTACCTCTTCAAGAGAGCTAGCAACGCGTTCAAGACATGGAATCGGTGAGTAATGACTCGTAGTCCACCTGATATCCGGGCCAAGGCTCTGAAGACAGCTAATACCAAAGGAAAACTAAATCCATCACAATTCAGAGGAACATCGAACAGCAGGACGTGTCTGGTTTTCAGGAGCCACAAGTATCAAACCTGTCAGTTGTGGGAGGGGGAGATATGAGAGTGGGAACATCAGCTGTGCTGCTGAGAGCTGAGATGGCTCTTTGTGCACTGACCCTGCTCTTAATTGCTTATAAATATTTCATCTGATAGATCACCAGGAATGCCAGTCTCATATGGCTCCTTCAGTAGTTAGGAGTCTCTACAGCTGCCAGAGACCTTGGGAAAGTGGAAGCAAAGGTTTCATGTTCTTGCCTTGTTCGATATTTATGTGTTTAGTGTCCCTCGAGAGTGTCTTTGGGTTTCATATTTGGTTGTGCAACCCTTCCAGTGAGTTTCTAATGCAAGAAATCGATGCCTTTTTGGCCCACATTTCCTCCTCTCACTTAACAGAGAAATGATATAATATTATGAGACCCGGTACTTGGCTGTGGGATACACTCAGAGTATGTGCCACAGCAGGCTTGAAATATGCTGTCATTAGACTTTGGAATAAATAAACACGGAGTGATTCAGCGAACGGTCTGTGGGATGCACAGAAACTGCCTGTGTTTGCACAGGGAAAAGATCTGCAATTACTGGAGATCTCTGACTTGGTTAGACCAGGGAGTCCTCTCTAGGACTTGCCCTAGTACTAAGGAGAGTCCAGTGAAATTTAGCAGAATGGTTTTGCCTCTCAGGCTCTTATCCCCTGACATTTCAGCACTGAGCTTGCAGTTGGAAGAACCAGAAATGACTACAGCAGCTCTGGCCCGGTGCATCGTCTGTTTGATTTCAGTGCTTGCCTGGAAGGTATTGCAGATGAAATCTTAGCAGCCCTTTTAGGATTTTCCTGCTTGGTGTTTCATAAGCAGACTACAGCCTCTGTCCCTAGATGTGCAGGGTTGCTTTCACGGCATGCCATGTGTCTGTGCAGAGGAGGTCATCCTGAAATGTGTCAGGTTCGTGTCACTGACCTGTACATCGAGAGCTTGGTTCTTGTGGAAGAGGTGAAGAGTTCTGCTCAGCTCTCTTCTCCACCTGGCTGTGAATTCAAGGGGCACCCCATAAGGCATTTACCCTGGAGGGAACGTGATCCTCTGAGGCTTCCAAATTTTCTGGTGTCTGAAGTACAAGCTAGATGGCAAGGGCTCCAAGTTTTCCCAGGCCCCCAAATCCGAGCTGTCCTCCCCCGTATCCTCCTACAGCCTGGTGATACACAGCCTGTATCTTCCCCACAGCCTCCTCCATCCCACCCACTCTTAGCCACAGCTCCTGGCGCTTACTCATCGCCCTCCTGCTGTCACTCCACCGCTTACCGGTGCTGCCTCCCCCTCGTGAGCAGGGGGCAGGCAGAAAACAACAAAACCCATGGTTCAGCTGAGGTTAGGAGGCAGCACTAGGCAGCAACTGTGTGCCCTGGGGTGGCAGAGCAGAGAGCAGAACCAGGAGAAGCTTTCTGCTCTGCTTTGTGTGACAGCAGCATTGCTCCTGGCGCACAGATCGTTACTGTCACAGCAGCTCAGAGATGCAGAACCACACGAGCTCATCAAATGGGGCTCCCTGCGTAGGTGGGATGGCCTCCAGTTACCTGTATTTTCCCAGTTTCTCCGCAGACATGTCAAGTCCTTTATTGCTGTTGCCTTTTATCTCCCCCTTTAATGTTTCAGCAGTGACGAAAGAAAGAGAATCCTGTCTCATCTCATTTGCCTAGGGAACCCAGTTCCTTTGCAAAACGAGCATGATACAGGCTCAAATGACAGCCTGCTGCAAGCTCTTTGGCTCTTTGTACTCAGATGTTTCTTCCTCAGGTCTGGTGGTGGTGGCCATGGCTTTCATTGCCCTCCGGGATGAGGATCAGGTTGCTAAACCTTAGGCTGTGTATTGGGATGAGGAATTGGCTCAGGGGGTTGGATTTAACACTGGAGATTAAGCCACGAGGGACTTATCCCTGGTATCAGCATCACATGGACGTTCTCTCACTTATATTTTAGTGGAAAGCTGGCCCTAAGGAGGCAGACTCCCTCCCAACACACGTGTCCTTACTCTAGCTGCAGCAAACAGGAGCTTTGGCGTCAGTTTGACCTCCCATAGTCTGTTGTGGCTACAGAGAACTCAGCATATCCTATACCAACAGCCAGGTGTGCAGCCTTTTCGATAAACACCAAATATGCCAGGTCCATCCAGCCCCAAGCAGCGCACCGTGTCCCACGGGCACTGCATTTACTGCCTGCACCAGGGTCGATGGGCACACACAGGCTTCTGCCCCGGTAATCCTAGGCAGCAGGATGGACTGCCCTATTCCTTCCCTTGCTTCCTCCTTCATATACACTGACATATCTAGGGCACAGCATCTCGATGCCAGGAGTCATTCCCTAAGGCTCTAAACCCTTTGTTTATCCTCTGAGGGAGGGCACCGGGAGAAGCAAGGGTTTATGACATTAGTTTTCAGCTGCTTTGAATAAATTAGACTTAAATGCGGAGATCTTGTTCTGCTGCAGAACAAACCACCCGTGTAGAGCTCTGCCATTCATTTCTCCTGTTGTCTGTCTTCCTGCAGGAGGTGGTTCTCCATACAAAACAGCCAGCTGGTGTACCAGAAAAAGCTAAAGGTCAGTGAGGCTTCCCCAGGTGGCCACCTTGTGTCCTTGGGACTTCTGCACCATGGTGGGGAGGGTGGGGTTGGCTCAGAGGGATGGCAAGCCCATTCAGGCACTATTATGCTCCAGAGTTAGATGGTGCTGAGAACCAAGTGGCAGCAGGTGGTGTTTGCAGTGGTCTAAATCTCCCTGATCAACGGAGGAAGGTTGATGTCCCCAGTCAGCTGGCCCCTGCATGCGCTTGTTGTCCCAGTCTTTGGTGCTGTGCAGCCCCTTCCTGTTGTCCTGGAGTTGCCCCATGGTGGGCTGGCTCAGTTCTTTCTGGCCCCAGCATGTGGTAGCCAGCAGGGTTTGGGGAGGAGTGTTCTGAGAAGCCTGATTCTGACAGATTCAGGGAGCTGATGAAGCTGCTTGCATCCCTTTCAGGATGTCCTCACGGTAGTGGTGGAAGACCTGCGGCTCTGTACTGTCAAGCCATGTGAAGACATAGAGAGGAGGTTTTGCTTTGAGGTCGTCTCACCTACCAAGTAAGTTTGGTGGATTCCTTGGGTCATCCTTATGGCAGCTGGAGTGTGCATGGAACTGCAGGAGATTTGATTTGCGCAGACGCTGCCCTGCGTTATTCAGGGTTGGCTGGGATTCTCCAGAGTCCCCATAAAGCTTATCAGATACCAGCACAAGCCAGATGTGGGACACACAGACCTAATGCATATACAGACTGTGAAAGTGGCAGTGCTCAGCTTTCCGAAACTGCCTGGAGACTTGGAAGAGGGAGAACCTCTGACAGCGCGAGCATGTAGGATTAATTTTTGCCACTGTGTCTGCCAAATTAAGGTGCTGCCCCCATTGGAAAGGTTATGCTGTGGATGAAGCAGGACAGTTTTGACCAAAACACGCACTCTTTTTGTTCTTCCAACTCTTTCCTTTCTCTTGCAGGAGCTGCATGTTGCAGGCTGACTCAGAGAAGCTGCGTCAGGCCTGGATTCAGGCTGTTCAAGCCAGCATTGCTTCTGCATACCGGGAGAGTCCTGACAGCTACTACATCGAAGTGAGTGAGGGGTCAAGGAAGGTCCCTAATGGTGTCTCAGGGCCCTAGCAGTGGGCTTTTGGGCTGTGACAGGTCCAGTGTGGGTGAGTGAACATTTGGACCATGGTAGCAAGCTGCTGGCTGTCCTAAATAATGGGCAACAATGATAACGAGCCGCAAGCCCAGAGCAGGGATGGGGTGAAGCACTGTCTTGTAGCAGGAAGAGATTAATGAGGCCCTATCCTTTCCTTTCCTGGACTAGCAGTGGCTCATTCCCCTTCAGATAGTTCATCCTCTGCAAAGCTCCAATTCCTTCCTTGCAAACCCTAGACCCCTTTTTGTTCCCTGCAGAGACTGGACCGGACTGCTTCCCCATCAACGAGCAGCATTGATTCCGCTACCGACTCGCGGGAGCGCAACGTGAAAGGGGAGACCATCTTGCAGAGGGTGCAGAGCATCCCTGGGAACGACCAGTGCTGTGACTGCGGTCAGCCAGATCCCCGCTGGGCCAGCATCAACCTGGGCATCCTGCTGTGCATCGAGTGCTCTGGCATCCACAGGTACTGTGCACGCGTGTGCTCTGTGGCACCAGCCAGGGGTGTAGATTGCAAGCTCCTAGAAAAAAGGTGGAGCATGGGTTATAACTGAATGATGTTGGTACAGATGGATTCAGACAGTTGCTTGCTGCAGTGCTTGTGTGCAGGTACAGTTCTGTGTGCAGCCCAAGCCCTGTACTTCCCACACAGCTGCTGTAGTTGAGGTTGGCAGCCCACGTAGCAAAAGTGCAGAGTCTAGCTCAAAGTACATCAGGAAACAGCTTGAATAACTCGGCTGTAGTGATATTTAGCACTTGCTTGCAAAGCATTTCACAGACATCAGCTAATTAAGTTCACACAGCTTTAGAAAGCAGAAAAAGGATTAATTTACACAGTCCACTTTTAGCACTTGCGAAAAATTGAGTTGTTGAAACAGGAAGCCTGGCTGTTTTTTCCTGCTGTACTGCATTTGTGTTATAGAGCTGAGAAATTAACTGCCACACTCTCTCATTCTTCACTTCCCATGCGTTGCAATTCCACCTGTTTCCTGAGCCTAAAATGACAGATAGCTGCATCCATGAGCGCGCACATAACTGCAACCCTGAGCAATGCTTCTGCCAGCAAACTGACCTGTTCCTTTCAGTAGCTCACAGTATTGAGCCACCAGACACCCTAGTAGTGTGCACCTCAATTAGGGAAACCCTTCTCGTTAGGGGTCTAAAGACGAGGAAAGTGAAACAGAATGTTTCAGAGACAAATAATACAGAAGAATAGCTTTTAATGTGAATAATGTTGTGGCAAGGGATTTTTTTTATCAAGCTTTTGTGCTATAGTTATGTCTGTGTAGATGAATACAGAGGAATTGGATTTATATTGCTCATCTTATGATACGTGATCTGTTTTGAGGCATGTAACCATTTTGTTTTCCTTTCTTTTGGATAAATAGGAGTCTGGGCGTTCACTGCTCCAAAGTCCGATCTCTCACGCTGGACTCCTGGGAGCCAGAGTTACTGAAAGTGAGTGGTGGCTTCTGACACCAGGAGATGGACAAATGGTGGGCGTGGAGGGCCTCTTAGTGGCAGAGGTAACTCCTCACCTGAGCATTTCATTCCCTCCCTGTTGTATTGCAGCTGATGTGTGAGCTGGGGAACAGCACCATGAACCAGATTTACGAGGCGCAGTGTGAAGAGCTGGGACTTAAGAAACCCACAGCAGGGAGCTCCAGGTGAGTCTGAGCGCGTGCCCTGGTCCTTACAGCCCCGTGGGGAGGTATCCACCTACACAGCCCCTCAGCTCTGCCCTGAGCTCTCTGGAAAGCCAGACTGTGCACTGTGCACAGCTTTATGCTGTTCTTCTCTTAGGCAGGACAAAGAAGCCTGGATCAAGGTGAAGTACGTGGAGAAGAAATTCCTGAAGAAGCTGCCAAACGGGGAGGCTCTGGCAGAAAACGAGCGGAAACCTCGACGCTGGTGTGTGAAGAAGTGCCAGAGGCACAACAGTGCCACGAAAGCACCCACAGCTCGTAGGAAGTACCGCCACGAAGCAGGCAACGCATCACCAGCGATGTTGTCATCAGGTGGGAACTTCCCTGCCCCAGACAGAGCTGTGTTGGCCTGGCCACCACTCCGTAGGTGTGGGCACAGCTGCCATAACACATGGCCCTGCATCTCCAGGCTCTGCAGCCTGCTGGGGGTATAAGCAAAAGTGCTATTGCACAAACCTTGATGCAGATCTTTAGAGCCATTTCCTAACACTTCCCATGTGTTCGAGGAGGTTCTTCTGGCTAACGGAAGAGATCTTTCAAGGCCAGGTTGGATGGGGCTTTGGGCAACCTGAGCTAATAGAAGGTATCCCATATCAGCAGGATTGAAACATAATTTTTAAGGTCCTTTCCAAAACAAGCCATGCTATGGTTCTATGATCTTTTATATCAGGGTGATCTAGCAACTTCTAAGCTGTCTTTGCCTTCCTTTGTATTCCAACTTCCTGCTTTTTAACAAAAGAAAGAAGCAAATCCATTTAATTTTACCTACCTGGTCTGTAATGGAGGCCACATTTATGAAGGCTTCTGGCTGCTCAAAATGCTCTGGTATGACTTGGTCTGCAGTGTTAGCACCAGCTATGGTGGTTGTGTTTTGGTGCTGTATGTGAGCATGGTTATGGCACTGAAAAATTCTGGGGTATGCAAGTTCAGCCCGGGTAAATACAGCTGTGGGACTTTTGCATTTGTTCATCTGCCTGTTATTAACTATGCACTTCAAAATCTTTCTGTAAAACAGCAGCCACGCTGGAGAGGAAGTTCCGTCGAGATTCCCTCTTCTGCCCTGATGAACTGGACTCGCTCTTCTCCTACTTTGACACTGGTGCTGGCTCTGGCCCACGCAGTAAGTACAAAGAAAGACAAAGTGCCCCTGCTTCTGGCACCCTTTACCTCCCAGCTGTTCTAGGGTGTGTGCATGGCACCAGACTTGAGGCAAGGTATCGGCCTCACTAGAGAGGCAGGCAGCTGACCAAACCACACAGACCTTGGGTAAATGTCTCAGAAGAGTGATGGGGAGTTACTTGCACCAACTCCAACCCATCGCTCTTTTCATTGCACTTGTTATTTTAATATCCTATCAGTCAGTCCCCGGTGTTTGCATTCTGGTGGATGGGATTTTTTTCCCCACATCTTTTACTCCCAGACTGTGCATTCCATCGTCCTTTTCTGGGTTGAGTTTCGGCTTTTCCTTTTTTTTCCCCTTTTTTTTAGCAAGCGTTACTGTGGACAATTTTTCTTTTTGTGTTTTGTGACGATGAACTCCCCTCATATTCCGTCCACCTTCCTCTAGGTGCCAGCCACATCTCTATGCAGCATCCGCTAACAGCTGGCCCATGGAGTGGCAGTGGCATTGGTCCCGGTGGGAGCGGTACGCCGTTCCTCCTGGACGGAGGTAAGGTGACGCTCTGGCAGCTAGCAGCAAAAGAGACGCCCAAATTTTACTTGTTCCAAACCAAACATCAGAGGCAGCTCTGTATTTTCTTGCAGCCAAACAACTGGAGCACATAAATGACCTGGGGAAGGCAGGCGGGCAGGCTTTTGAAAGGTTAAAAAGCATCGTGAGGCTTCCTGCAGTCAAGTTGCTGCATCTGAAAGGAACAACTCTCTCAGATGAAGGGTCCAAGCCTGCACATGTGGGCAGCACGTGGCAAATGGGATGTAAGAGGTGTTTACCTCAAACGCCCTGCATCTGTCACAGACCAGGAGCATGGCTGATGAGGAATAGTAACTTTTTAAAACAACTCAGCCACTTCACGTTATTCAGAAGCTCGTACGATAATTGCAGGTCCTGTGTCAGCCCAGCAGAAAATCGCAGCCCTTTGTACAAGTGCATTTTACCTCTTGAAGTCAATGAAACAGGTGCTTTAATGCTTGTCTGAGTCAGTGCCTTAAAGGCTGTCCCAGTTTCAAGGAATTCAGCACTATTAGTCAAGCAGAAACAATAGCTTGAATGTAGAACTTCCGAGTTCAGCAGCCTTATCTGGGTCCTGTGGAAGAAAATAGGAGCTTTAGCACTGATTCAGTGGGAGCAGAACTGGCAATTTAACACATTAATGTTCATGTGCTATGAGCCAGATCCTCCTTTCTTGCTTTGATGTAAATCTAGTGTCGTGCCATGTAACTCATTGGAGTCGCTCTTCACTTGTGCTGCTGTAGTGGAAAGCATGGTCTCACCAAGGATTGTTTGCTATCTACAAAAAAACAGCAATAATTTTCCCAAATTATTTTGGGAATAATATCAGCAAATCCAAAAAGGACAGGCATGATGTGTGCTGCTCTAAGCCTTTCCTGGGAGCTGCATTCACCGAGTCAAGAAGTTCCTCAGTCCTATCCGTAAAACTAATCTGGTGATTACTCACTACTTGCAAAAGCTGTTTCAAAACTGGACGGTCTCCAAAATTCCTTAGTGAATGAATCTGAATAACAGAAAGCATAAGTCCAGAAAAATCCATCAAATTCATGTGACAGGAGTTTCTTTGCTGCTTGATCCGTGGCCAAGGGACTCTGTTTTGAGTCTGCTCTCTAGTTTCTTGTATAGTTCTGCCAAGCAGCTTTGTACAGATCAGTGACATTGAAAGCTTTTGCCCAGTAATTAACTGGGACAGGAACATGTGTTTGTCCATGGCATGAGCAAATATACTATCAGGGTAAAGGCTGGCTGCTCGTCTGTGTCCAAGCCCGGCTCTGGATGATGCTATTGCCATTAGTATTATGAATGTCTTGTTTTTTTTTTATGCCAGAAGAGAATTTGGGCTCCTTTTTGGAGGTGATTAGGACACCTCGTGTACCCTGAGCGTGAGTGCATGATGAGATAATCAACGGTGGATTGACAGTAATTAACACACCGCTCCAAATAACTCATTCTTTCTCTTAAACAAGTAGGAGATCAGAAGGCACAGCTTCCTGAGGCGTGCTAAGGAAATTACTCATCGCTCTATGCAAAACACAGCAGTTACTCTGAAAAACGACCTATAGTTAATTGTCAATCAGTGTAATAATGACACCATGCAAAGAGCACTAACAAAATATTGGAGGCTGCAGATTCAGCCACCAGCCTGTTCTTGTGTGGGGGTGGATACCCAGAAGGTGGAAGTGTAGATCTGATTACAAAAGTGGATCTACACTAATGCATTGTATAAGAATCTGGCCCCAAATGTTTGTTATGATTTGACATTTTTTTTTTCTTCACTGTTTTTTTCCACCAGTTTTAACCAAAAGAGGATTTTGAAAGGATTTTGCTTAAAGGTAGGAGCAGTGACTGGGTGAATGTAGAGCCCAGCCAGTGTTCCCAAGGACAAGGCATCCCTCAGGATGAAGGTGATGTCCCAACACCTTCTGCAGGGGCACTGCCAACACTGCTTTTTCCTTCCCTTCTGTCATTTTCTTGACTGCTTTTGGATCCAAATTGTAGAATTGCTCGGCCACTTTGCACAGTGTGTCCTTGGACAAGTTGTCTCCTGTCTTCTGACTCCACTTACATGTAATCAGCTGCCTTGTAACATTCACCAGGGAAGGTGGGAAGGACTATAAAGAGGAAAAAGGGTGAAGAAGTGAACAAATGCTTTAAGAGTTTGGCTTGAGATAAATATTATTGATATTATTTGGCCCATTCGTGGTCAATAATGTACTCCAAGGGCAATGCATTTTGCAAATGCCCCAGTGACAACTGAAAAACTTTGGAGAAAGCTCAGATGAGAGTGGAAATTAAGCTTATTAGTGGTAAAAGCAGAGGGGTGTCTCTATTTGCTAACGACACTGCGTAACCTGCTGCAAAGCTGTCTCTGCTGCTGCTCTGCTCCAGTCTACGTCACGGCGTCCCTCATGGATTGCAGCAAGTGCTGTCCTCAACAGCCCAAAGTGCCATGGCAATGTTGGAGTATCCCTGCATGAAGGGCAGCGTGGGGACACAGACACCATAAGGCTTTGCAGTTTTTCCTTGGGCAGTTTTACTGAGTGGGGCTAAATGGGGTAGCAGCGCCCTCTCCCTTGCCAGCAGCGCCCGGTGCAATGTGTGTGTGACGTTCTGCGCAGCCCTTTTCCCCTGTGGTCTCAGCTGTGCCTGGTACCGGAGTGCCCGGGTATTAAAATGGCCTTGGTTTGTCTTCTGTTGGCCCTGCAGGTCTGAGCAGTGACAGCGGGCTTGGGGGAAGCACGGACGGCAGCACGGATATCCTGGTGTTTGGCTCCGTGGTGGACAGCGTGACGGAGGAAGGTGGGTGCCACGCAGAGGCTGGTGATGGAGGTGATGTGAGGAGCAGCTAGAGCTGAGGCAGGAGGGATGGCCAAGACTATTTTGTGTACCAAAACCAATGGGAAATACAGAAAAATGGAAATGCCAAGCTTTTGGGTCATGTTTTGGCATCCCTTTCTCCCCCTCAGAGTGCGAGGTGTCAGAGGAGTCCAGCGGTGAAGCAGAGATTGAGCAGGAGGCATCAGATTTGGAGGACCTGCGGGAGCTGCACCCTGGCTTGTTGGTCTACAAGGCGGCACAAGCCCGAAACCTGCCGCTCATGGCAGAAGCCCTGGCTCATGGTGCTGAAGTCAACTGGGTGAACGATGAAGATGAAAACAAAACTCCTCTGATTCAAGCCGTGATGGGGGTATGTTGTGCTTGTTTGGGAATGGGCAGCCTTGACTCCAGTTTGGAGCACGCTGACAATAGGCAGCTCGCAGGCAGGTACGTGTTCGGTACGGCAGGGTGAGTTTGAAAATAAAATCCTCTCTACTTTGCCAGGGCTCCTTGATAGCCTGTGAATTCCTGCTGCAGAACTGGGGCAGATGTTAACCAAAGAGACAGCCGAGGCCGGGCTCCCTTGCACCATGCCACGTACCTGGGGCACACTGGGTAAGTCCTTCACATGCCGACTTGTTCCATCACCCTGGGCTGCAGCTTCAGAGTTGCCACAAAGTCATGGGATGGGAAGGAGAGCTGGTTTTTGGGTGGATTTCCATCCCAAACAGCGGTTCAGAGGGGAATCTGCCCAAGCAAGGAGAACTGTGACTGCCCGTGGGGGGACTGTGCTCTGTGCCTGCTCCAGCATGGAGGTGGGATTTCTGCTGATGGCCTTTTCTTCCCTTCTGCAGCCAGGTCTGCTTGTTCCTCAAGCGAGGGGCGAACCAGCACGCAGTGGACAGCGACGGGCAGGACCCGCTAAGTATCGCAGTCCAGGCGGCCAACGCAGACATCGTTACCTTGTAAGTGCCGCAAGGACCCTCCTTTCTCCCTGTAAGTAGCAGGAAGGAAGCCAAACCTCTCCCCCTTTGCTTTCTCTGTTTCACTCTAGGCTGCGTTTGGCCCGAATGAATGAGGAAATGCGAGAAGCAGAGGGCCCCTTCGGACAACCAGGTCAATATCCCAGCAACAGCCCTACTGAGCTCCAGTACAGGAAGTGTATACAAGAGTTCATCAGCCTTAACATAGATGAGTGTTAGTGACAACTCCCCCACCTCCCCTTTGCAGTCTTGAAGTGGGGCCGGATTCCTGGAAGCCCCGAGAGCCCCATCCTTGGTATATTGGTGTTTCTTGCAGATTGGTCTGTTTTTGATGCCTGCGCCTATAGGTTGAGATGCGTGCAGGAAGGAGGAGGGATCTTTCCTGCTAGCATCAAGTTCTCATGCTTGACTACTGGATGGTTGATTTTGTGTAGGAGATTCTTAGGGCATAACCACAGACCATGGCGTGTGGACTCGAGTGAGTGAAAAGTATGGGAGAAGAGTTTAGCATTAAACAAAACAAAAAGAAAAAAAAATAAAAAAAAAAAAAAAAGAAAGAAAGAAGAAAAGGAAACCCTCTATCACCAGGAGAAGCCCGCCAACACTAGGATCAGACGAACCTCTCTTGTCTCTGTTTCGGTGCAGTCACCACGCGCTGAATTCTCGTCTGAACCGTTTGGAAGGGATTCTGATGGGGAGCCCTCTCCTGGCAGTGCGACCAGCAGCCTGCTCTCTCCTGGGACTCTGCAGCATCTGGGAGCTGCTGGGGCCAGTTTAGAAAACTCAAATGCAACCTCTAAGTCGGGAACAGGCTGTTTCGTGGGGCAGATGCTTCGCTGCACAACAGAAGGGGTAGAATTGAGAGCCATGGCTACCCACCTCACTTGCTCTCAGGACTATTACCAGCCACGCTCCCCTTTTTTTGGCCTTGGTGGTTAGCTGGTCAAAGCCATAGCTCACCTGCTTCCTGGGCCGGGATGCGCTCTGCCCGTGGTGTGAAGCAGCAATGCTAACTTTTTTTTTGAGGCTGGGAGAAGCTTGTCGCTGGCGATGGGCTTTTCTGTCAGGGAAGAAAAGCCAAGTCCAACTGCCACTGCCAAGCTGGCTGGCTGCACGATGCAATTTGGTTTGGTTTGTTTCCTGGTCACCGTATTTCTGACTCAGTGTCTCTGTGAAGGAGACTCCTACCTGCATGTGTATCCCTCTGTGCTCACCCCGCATGCTCAAGCATGTGAGTAGGGCATCTCAGCAGCTGGCCTGGGGACTTCGGCGTTTCCCAGTTCCAATGACCAGCAGAATCTTCTTTTTTTTTTCTTTTTCTGGTATTATTCTTTGCTGGAGCAGGGGAATGTGTTTCTACTCAGAGCACTTTGTTGCTGGTGTTTATGGTCTGTTGTGGGGTCATGCTACAGCAGCCCTGCAGAGTTGGTTGGGAACTTGGGTGCCACGCTGAGATGTGCTCCTGCAAGAGCCACTTCTGAACGCCCTCAAACTGCTGTTGGCATCAGAAATTTTCAGGACTCGTGGGCAGCAGCCCACAGCTGGTATTCAGCCGGCCTGGGCACCTCGGCTGCTGGCTCTGGGCTTGGGCCATCGTGCCTTACAGATAGTCCTGAAGGGGTCGGGATCTCACGAGGAACACAAATACCAGGCAGAGCTCCCCGTCCTCCTGCATTACATCAGCAGTGAGACACAGTCATGCTCTTTTTCATCCACTCTTTGACTTCCTTTCTTTGTAAACTGGCAGGTGTCTTGCTGCAGCCCTTGGGGGGGTCAAACCTTTGCGGGTTTACTTCTGTCCTCAGATGCCAGCACAACCCAGCTCCTTGCTTGAGATAGTGCCCTCAGACTGATCCTACAGCGCTCAGAGTACACCCGTGTGTCTGCAAGTGGAACGAAAAAGAAGCTCCTCTTGGGCTCTGGTAGTTGTCCCCTCGGTTCCAGGGAGTGTCCCTGCTTCCCTCGGGAAGTGCTGCCCCATGTCCTGCTGCAGACAGATCACAGATTTCAGTCTCTGCACTCTGGGGCTTGAATCCCATCTTTCTCTTGTGGCTTTCTCATTCCTGTTCTCTCCTGAAGCTGCAGGATGCCCAGTGCCAAGTCCTGAGCTCAGTTCCAGGTGTCTGTTGTGAGCCCGAGATAGTCCCAGTGACCGTGCTGGAAGTGCTGCAGCTCAGTGGCGGTGCAGAATCCAGTCCCAGGGCCTGCCTTTCTTCCCTAAGCCACAAACCATCTCCTTCCACCACTGTTTAAAGAATTAATGATTATATTATTGGCCCCATCAGCCTTTTCACCCCTGGCAATGCCTTTCGCTGCATCTTCTCCATCATTCCACCCATCCTGCCTCGAGGACCAGGCTCTGTACCCAGCAAACTGGCTTTCTCCTTTCTCAGCTGCTCAATGCCTGCTCTGAAACTTTCATCCTTTGCACTGCTTTTCTTCCTGGTCCAAGTCATCCCGAGGTTACAGGGGCTCCCCCTCGGAGCAGTGCTGCCTTTTGCTGGTGTCACTGCTGTGTTGGCCGCCCTCCTCGTGGGCTGAGCCTGCTTGCTCTGCAGTCAGTGGCTGGCTGAGCCCTTCAGCAGGGCAGCACCGTGCATGGTTAGATCACCCCCTGGCATCCAGATCAGTGCTTGAGCGCTCAGGACAGGGACCAGCATGCAGCCAAGAAGCAGCTTTGCCGCCTGGGTCAGGAACTGGGAGATCCTCTGTGATGAATTCTCTTTGATAATCCCAGCCCATTTTATGCTTCCTGCATCTGTTGAGACGTTTGTCAGAGCTGATGTGGTTCCCTTGAGTTCTGAATCTTCCAGGCATCTTCCAGGGTACTTCAGAGATCGTGGCAGTGGAGCAGATGTCTCACCATCACCACGGTCCTGCTCTGTTAAGGATCTTCAGCATGATCATCATCTAGCAACGTTTTTCACATGCACAGCAACTTAAAACACCCCAGTCGGTTTCCCAGCTTCTAGGGGAAGTTAGGAATAGGCCTGATCCTTTCTGTAAGCCAAGGAGGACTGGAGACGTGGCTTCCACTTTGGGTCATTTTATTTCACAGTCGGCATGAGTGACTGATGAGAACAAAACAAGAACCGGGTACAGACAGGTCCAGTGAAGCTCAGACTTACTGCTGAAGTACATGAAGTTGAAGCGTGTGTAAATACTGATGCAAAAAGCAGTGTCTTGCAAGACAATTTATTTAACATGTATTGGTACTTTATTTAGATTCAATGTATAAAGCAACTTTGTGCACTTTTCCTACATACAGTATTGGGGGGTTTTATGTTCTTTTGTTATGGATTTTGTGCTGTCTTTTTTAATCAGTGGAATTGTTAAGTATTTAATTTATTATTGATGTGCCCAGAGGACTAGTGCAATTTTTATTCAATACAGTTTGTCTGTATTTAATGTCAGGATTTTTTTGTAGCATTGTTAGGGAATATTTTTCGAAACTTGCCTTTTTTTCCCCCACAGCTCTCCTCTTCCCCCTTCTCCACCCCCACCCCCCCCTTTTCTCTTCTCTTTTCATTATACAGATGACGAGGCATGAAATGCCTCAAGTTTGTAATATAATCAACCACTTTAGTACATCCTGCAGTTTCTAAAACAAAAACAACAAAAAAGGTTCTCCAGGAAAAAATGCTAAGGAGAGGCACTTCTCACTGGTTTGTGTTTGATTTATTAGATGGGGGCGTGTGTGTGTGCGTGCCTAGAGCTTTGGAGGGGGGGGGAGTGGGGAAGTTGGACATAAAGTTTGTTTTCAGCAAAATAAATGGCCAGCTGGGCTACAGGGAAGGCTAGATCTGAACACTCATTTTTTTTTTTTTCTCCTAGTACAGCTGGATTTGTGTTGTACAATCTCGTTTGAAATACCGAATGCCAAAACTCCTCCTCCTTTCTTTTCAAAGCGTGCATAGGTTGTAACTGTGCCAGTAACTTGGCTGCAACCACGGATAAGGTGAGAGGCTTTGCCTTTGTCTCGAAAGCAACATGCCAGGCATTGTCCAAACGCAAAAGGACCCAAACCCTTGCCCCAGCCCTGCAGATTCTGTCATCTTTTGAGTTTTTGAGACTCAAGAATTATTTCCATGCCTGTACTAGCTTTTGTTTGAGTTGACCCAAACCCTGTAACCGAGTGCCTGGACAGGTAGGCTGGGTTTGAGTCTTAGAGGCACCTGTCTCTGATTCCCCATGGGACAACTTCAAGTTGCTGGCAAGTTGAAATGATCCCCCCGGTGCCATCGAGGGGTGCCTTGGGTGTTTTTAATGTTGTGGTCTCTGAGATGCTCTCTGCACTGTGAAACTCCTTGGAATTGGATGAACTGGTGTCAAACCCTTTTTGTTTAAAGACAAGCTGAGGCTGTGATCAGCATAAAATAGATCAGTAACATCTCAGACCAGCACAAATGGCCATTATTTATGCAAGAGAAAACCAGGACCTCCAAAAGAAATGCACTGCTAAGCGATGGTCCAGCGGCCCTACCGCAGCCGTCCTCTGCTGCTGCTGGGCTGCCCCTGCCCCTGCTCCTCTCTCCTCGCTGCCCGAGCATTATTGCTTTCAACCAAAGACAAAACAGAGCGAAGGGACTCGATGTGATTTTTAAACACTTGGTTTGCTGATGACAAACGTCGGTGTGAGTGTGCCTGCGTGCGAGAGCATTTGGTGCTGATGTGTGGAGAAGGGTGGGCAAGGAGGGACCGAGCAGAAGGGAGAGTGGGAGTTTGAAAGAACTTTATTTATTATTTTTTTGAGATTCCAAAATATACAGTGCTGTTTCCATAGGAATGTGATTCATATCGCAGTCTGCCTGCTGGCTCCTCTGCCTGGTAGGGAATTTGGACTGGGGTATGTACCTCGCACGTGGTAGTGGGAGGAAAGGGCAGGCAAATAGTTATGGGGAGGGAAAGAGGGGTAGAGGTGGGAGCCACGATGGTTTTCAGGGCACGAGGAGGACCTTGTGTGTTCCTAGTGCAGGAGCTGAGATGGCTGGAGAGGCTGAAGCAGGAGCATCCCTCCACAACCATCCTGGCTCTCAGCAAGGGCCGTGGAGGTTTGTGTGTCCTCCTGCTCCACTCGCAGACACGCTGGAAGCAGCCAGGGAGTTGCCTTCAGGTTGTCCGTGGAGCTGTAGACCTGTCTCAGTCGCTTCCATCCATCCCATCCCTCCATCAGCACAGGAACATCAGGGTGAGTTCCCCACCCTGGGAGCCCTCGGTGTGACGCCTGGGGCTGCTGGATCACTGAGGGTGAGCGAGCCTTTTCCTAGGGCAGGGTGACACAGCCTGGGCTGGGAGCCTTTGGGACGAGACAGCCCAGCCAGCCTCTTGCTGGCCGAGGCTCCCGTACCTTCCTATCTAAACAGCACGGAGAGAAAGTTCTTCAGCCAAGTGAAAGCTGCTACGTGTGGTTGATTAACACGGCTCCGATACACGCCGAACGGCTGGGCTGCTGCACCAGGGGCTGGCACTTGCTGTAAATACGCTGTAACCTATTAACCTCCTTCACTTGCCTGCTTTCAGTACAACTTTGTAACACGTTTTTTAAGTCCCCCTTTCCCTACACAGCCTGTACTGACTGTAACTATGGAACCAGATATTCTGTATGTTATTACCTTTGTACAATTTTAAAACTGTTGCTGTGGTGTCTGCCTTTTTTTCCTCCTTTCTCTTCTATTGTCTCTTGAAACACTGTTAATAAAAATCTAGATGAACTCTTTCCCTCCTCTTTCTCTGGCTTGATTTATTTATGTACGGTTTCTTGCCTTGTTGCCTATATTAACTGGTCCTAGAACACCATCTCTTTTAACCTGTTTTCCTTTCCCACTGCACCCCACAGCTTGAATCTTATGTCAGTGAAGAGAATGCCGTGTAACTGCTCTGCTTTTTGTTGGGTTTCCGCGTTTTAATGTGATTTCAGGATGCTTGGGAAGAAGACTGGGGGAAGGTGACAGGCTCACATCACCCCTAATTCTCTTCCGAGTATCTGGGTTGGTCGCTGCTCGCTGTGTTATGAGCTCTGCTGCTGACTGCCCTGTGAAAGAAGACCTTGCACTAGGTCAAAAATCTGCACATGGACCGCTCCTTCCCCTGTATCACTGCAATCCTTCCCCCTGGGTTTCTCTCATCCCATGTGCCTGCGGCAGAAAAATAAAAAGAAAAGAAAGAGTGGCCTGGCCTCATGATTTCTATCATACCTAGCGTGGAAAACAGGTACAGAATAAAGAAGTGCTGTTAAGAGCTTCGTGTTTTCCTGTGGAGGGACAATCAGATCCCTATAAATAGAAATTAATGGATCAGGGTAGGCTCATGAACTCAATAAAGGACTTAAATAGGAAGGACACCTTGAAACCAGGAGCACTGCAGTCATTTAAGGCACTTACGGAAGCGCTGCATGGTCTTGCAGCAAAATTATAAGCACAGGGGTTTGGAGAGACTTGGCCTGCTGCCTGCCCTGTTCTTGTGCCATCCTTTTTTTCCTACTGCATTTCTATTTCATGACTAAAATGGACACTGTACAGAGATACAAGCCTCACAAGGATAAATACACAGAAGACCAAAAGGTAATTACTGAAGTCCAGAGCTGCAAAAGGCTGCCTTTCTCCTTCGTTACTGACTTAAATGCTCAAGTATCTTAAAAATCCAGGGCTAATACTTCACCCTGTAGCAGGATTCATATAATTGGAGTCAGGTCTGAGTGTTGCCATGTGCTGGGAGAGAGGAGCCTCAGTGAGCCTTTACAGTGACAATTTTCTCCTCATAACTGGAGAAAAAGAGCTTTCCTTCCCCAGGAAGGGAGCACACAGGAATCTGCTTTTGCTTTGGGGGAACAGAAGGAATTGGAAGGCCCAGGTTGGCCAAGATGGCTGCGTGGCAGGCACAAAATTGGGCCTTTCCTCAGCATTTCTGTGCCTGAAAATCAACAGGCCCTGGTTACAGCCTGGCTGGTGGTAACGGCCATGGTAGAAGTCCGAAGGGAGTCATTCTTGATGCCCTTTGGGCCTGCACTTTCCATACGGTGAAGGAGCCAACCCTCACGGCCTGCAGTGCCCACCCAGGAGCTGGGGAGGACACCGGTGTGTGGAAGGGGTCCCTGACCCACAGAGGGACCCGTCCTCTCCTCCTGCAGCAAGGACACGGCTGCAGAAACACTTTCTGCATCGCTATGCTGATGACAGATGCCGTGCCTCAGAGCTATGCAGCTCCTACCAGCCCTGGGCCTGCACTCCCAGTCGCTCTCCAGGCCATGTCTGCTGGCAGCCAGAGGCATAAAACATCTCTGAGAGCCTCCAGGTGGCCACACCGCTGGAGGTGAGTGCCTGGGATCTCTGGATCTCTCCCTTATCTTGTCCCCTGCAGCTACAGGGGTTCATCTCCAGGTGAAAACGAGCTCAGGAACGGTGGCAGAAATTGTCCTAGAACATCGGGCAGCCAATGTACGAGCACAGATGTCACTAATGGGATGCGGGTGCCTAATTATCTCTGGAATTGCAGGGTAAATCTGAAACCTTTCCTGCATCAAGGGAGGTTTGGTCACAGAGCCACGGCTGGGACACCTGAACCCTTTGCCTTCCCTGGGGCTTTGGGCTGGGCTTTGCGTCAGCTGCCACGGGGAGCTGTTATTACCCGATAGTGCCCTTCAGCGGGTGGGTGTTTTGTTCCAGGACAGGGGGACTGCCGTTGTACCGGCCCCAAACAGGCACTCGGAGGTCTGGCTGCCAAAACAGAAGCCAAAGACAATGAGTAAATCCCCTCGTGTTCACTCTGGCTTCTCCAGAAAGCCAGCACCAAGCCCTTTGGCCCCAGTCACAGGACGCTGCACTGTGGCACAATGAGAGACCTTCGCATTTCAGAGCAGCAAAAAGAAAAACAAACTAAATCTCCAGTCATGGTCTGTACTCAGAGCACTTTATTATGTAAAAAAAAAAAAAAAAAGTTACAAAACAAAGCTCGTTGATTGCTTGTCAATTCTTGTCTTCTGCAGAAAGTCATAACAAGATTGTAACAGACTAAAACGCTTCTGTGCAAATGTCATCATCAAAAATAAATATGTTATTTTATGTACACATAAGTTACTGTCAAATATTAACATTAAAACAGCTCTGTTTACAAATTGGCTGCAGTAAAAATGCAGCATTGTTTTGATCTTCTAAATAATTCAGATGCTTCTTCTGTGACAGAAAAAAAGTCATCGACCCCGTTTCTTCTAATTCCTCTCCTCTACGACAGCGAGTCTCGCTTGAAATAATCTGGGCTCAGTCTGAAAGCATTCTGTGCATGGTGCTCAAAATGCAACAGCAGTAGGACAAGGACAGAGGTGTCTTGAAGGCGAAGCTGTGATCAGAGCAGGCTCTTGTTACTGCATCCTCTGCCATCCTCAAGGCACCGCTGGCTGGTAGGAGCGCACACTCCTTAGCCTCCACTGGAAATCTCTCCATTAGAAGGCAGGCTGACTTTCCTCTTGAGTATATTTGTGAAATGCAGATGGGCCTGTCTAATGCCACAGACTGATTTCCTCATAAGGGTTTAAAAGTTAGAAGCTATGAATAGGCTTTTATGAGGACAGGATGACTGCCCAGAGAGCAGAAGTAGAGTTCTCCCCTCCCCAGATACTCATTAAGAACAAAAGAACATCGCATGATGCCTGTATCCAGGACACAGGGATGGTTTAATAACGAACCCGTAGCAGCTGGAAGATTCCTAAGCTCCCAGTGTGGTGTTTCGGTGCTCACAGATGGTGATTCCAGAACATTTCTGTTTGCAGCCTTTCTGATGGCACCTGAGCATTAGGGGAGCTCCACGTCTCCCACTCCTCTGGGCACATAAGCCTTAGTGATTTAGCTCCGTTTCCAAAGAGCTGTCCTTCATATATCTAAATCCATTAAACACCACATCTGGGTGGCTCTCTGGCATCTCCACCTTGCTGGAGGGGGGGTGAAGATGCAGGTCACTGTTGCTGTCCATGGCAATAGTCACTCCAGAGGGGTGAGTATGAGCAGGATCAGCCCTTTTGCCAGCTTCTTGCACAACACGGTAGTTTTCTAGGGTCAAGCTCATGTTAGGGACGGAAGGAGTGTGAGCTACTTCTAACGTCTTCCTTGACCAGACCTTCTGATAGCAGAAGAGGAGAGACAAGACCAGTGTGTCTATGAGCAGCTCAAGCATTTCCACTACAGACAACACTGAGGATCCAAACCAGAGACTCCATTGGCTTCCCATGCTGGACAGAAGCAAATTATCCTGTGGAAAGGATCAAAAGACCACATTTACCAAACATGGAATTATTGCATGTTACCAGCAGATCTGTCAGCTATTTGTCATCTGTGTGACTGTGTGAACTATGACATTTTCAAGTTTATTCCTCAAGAGGAAATCCCACCCATCCTGGGGGCTGTAAATAATCCTCCCTCCAACCATACACAGCACACCATAATTAATAAGAGGTAAAAATGTTTTGAGCTGGTTTAGTGCAACCTACTGAGAGTAAAGGAGACTCGTTCACAGACTGGTAGTAGAGCTGCTTGTAGAAGATAGTCACCTTGGCGATGTCTTTCCTGCGTTGGAGAAAAGGAGCAGTTAGCAAGGTGCCCACACCTAGCTAAGTTAGTTAATGGGCTAAGTTAGTTAGTGGGCTAACTGTAAGTTTCCCCACTTGCTCAAGCTTTCCTCCTGAGTTTAACATTAGCTTGGGAAATTAGGTTAGAAACAGGTTACAGAAGTGACTGTCTTACAGTGTTGTGAGGAAAGATGGCATATTTATCGGAGGAACCTGTGCATTTTTCTCTTGTCCTCCAGAGTTCTCTAAGGATGAAGATAATCCACAATTGTCATAATACCTTTCTCAGTAACTAACCTGTTGCTAGTAGAGTTATATCCATTCTGATGCCTTAGAGCTTGGCGGACCCAGTCCTGCAACAGATATATGTATGTTACTGGCAATCTTCTGAATTTTGGTGTGTTTAATATTTTGTAAAGGTAGATTTCATAAGCAATAAAATGGGTATTGCTAATAAGGAAAAAGGATGTAGTTAATTGGTTAATGGCATATGGTAGTAGCTGTGGAGTAACAGCTATCTATATTTACCAGACAGCAAGGGGCTACACACTGATATTTCAGGTGTATATAATATTTTGATTCTTAAATTCCGCCTTTAACGGCAACCCCACTAAATCACTTCCTTTTTAAAAATGTATGGGTTGCATTTACACCTGATTGTAATCTATTTCACATGAATTAATTACCTGGCCATACAGCCTGAATGACCATTTAGCATTAGAGCATAAGAAATGGCAAGAGGTCATCTACTGACTCACAGAGTTTCCATTGCAGCCTGCAGGATCTCACAAACAGCAATGCGTGAGTGATTATACCACAACACCCACTGGAAGCAGAAAGTCCTTATCACCGTTTTGGAGGTGGGAACTCAGGCAGTGAGCTGAATTTTTTTCAGGTCACAAGGAAATTTGGATCAGAACTGGAGCTGAATTTGTCTCTCCAGACTCTCAGTCTGACATCTCAGCTATGGAGGCATTACACTGTGCTCAGGTCTTGGACTACTTTGCTTTTGCTGCCCAGCTCTTTGTGTTCATCCTTAATGTGCCTGCAAACATACTAGATACAGCTTCACCTCTAAACTAAGCCATTGTCTGTATGGATTACCTGAGACTTTGCTGATGGCCATTTAGCTGTCCCAGCAGACACCTTGTACAGCGATTCCCTGTTAAAATAAAAATGGAGATTATAATCACTATGACTCTTGGCATTTAGAAGTGAAGGAGTTCAACAAGCTGACTGCTTGCCCAAAGCAGAAATACTAGGAGCTGATCTTGAGGACCCTGGAAAAAGCTTTGCTAATCAGCTTAGAGAACAAAACCAGAGGTTGGCTGAGAACTGTTTGGATTGGGAAAAAAAAAAACAAAACTAGAACAGTTTGAAAATCCTGGAACTCCTCTTTGATGTGGTCAAAACCAAGGTATTTGATATTTTGCTTTAAAATTCTCTCTTTCTATTTTGAATGCTGGCACTTATTGTGCTCTGCTCTTGTGACCTACCGGCAAGGCTTGGGGCACTGGTCAAAACAATTCAGGTGATGATTTCTGAGCCTGTTGTAAAGCTGGTAAAAGCAGTGACCTGGTGGAAAAAATGAGAGAAACACACTCAGACATTTCCTCAGGAAATGGAAGGCATCTACAGAGTGGAAGGGCAGCAATCTAAGGAGCCGTGTAAGCTGTGACTGTGCCAGGGAGGCGTTCCCTGCTGGCAAGGACAGGACAGAAGTGTTTTGCTCTTACCCCACGCAGGTTGCTTGTTGTAGTTACAGTACTCAGCACCGGGAGGCAGTGGGTAGTAGTAATAGCCACAGCCACATTTTCGAACCATTATGTGCTGAAAGCAGGAATGCAGACAAGCCTGGAAAAAAAAAGAAGAAAAAAAAAAAGGAAAAAAAAAATGGATCAGACAGAAATTCCCCAAACCTTCAGACAATTGCGTGCAGCTGCTAGGAGATGTACAGATTGCATGACTGCAAAAAAGATGCCAGCCATTACTAGGGCAAGCTGAGGCAAAAGGTCTTAATTTTTCACTCCACGACTTTCCTTCTGAGAACATCATGGAACTCAGTGAGACAGATCTCTTTCTGATTATGTCCTGTAACATCTCAGTTAAACAGCCCAAGCATCCAGAGCCAGTATCAACTTCTTACAAGATCAAAAACCTGATGGCCCAAGAACATCCTCCCAGAACAGGACCTCCCAGCCTTGGCTGGTTCACTGCCTCATCTCCCCTGTGCCACAATTTGGGGAGAGCCCCAGTATCCCCTGCTCAGTGAAACACATTCCCAGCTCTAACACCATGTTTGTGAGCTACTTTTGGATGGCATAAATCACTGTTATCTCCAGCAGTGATCCTACTGATTTGTAAAAGCTCTCTGGAGAGTAAGTTATGGATTTTTTGGTATTTATCCGCTCTGAGTAAGCTGGGGCCTCAGCCAGCCACTCTGACAATACCTGTAGGGTGTAGGAGTTGTTGTACAGGAGTTTAACATTCACATCACTGCCATCAGTCGTGCATTTCCCATAATTGCCACCCAGGCGATTCACCTCATCCTGTGGACACAGAAAAGAGGCCTGAGTGATTAGAAGCTTTAATTGGCCCTAGCCATTACCATCTAAACGTAACTGTATGGAGCACCATATATATCAAGGACAGAAAGTAAGCTTATATATATATATATATATTTGGTCAGTCACTATGGCTCAGCTGACAAGCAGTAACTCATCACATCAACATAACCCAATCACTTTTGGATGTTTGTTCTCATCCTTACAGGCACATGAAGCCCCTTGTGTGGAGATACACCAAGGTGGAGGAGCCTCAGTGTAAAAACAATTCAGTCTTCCCAATGTACTGAGGACCAAAAGGTCACTTGTACAGTTGGAATAATTTTGTTTTACCTATGGGAACCCGAGCACAGTGGAGAGAGAAAATGGGCTTGCATGCAGAGTCAAAGTGAACAACAGAGCCTCACAAGCCCATTGTGTGAGTCAGTCAGAGTTCGTCTCCTTGCAACTTTCTGCCATCAGAAGGAAAAGAAATAATGCTCTTGAGCAAGTGACTAACCTGCTGAATGCCTATGGTGGTTGCAATGCCTGGTCTGATGTCAAAGCCTTCGTGCTCAAGGAATGGTGTCTGATTGTGGTTGTGTATCATCACTTTCACACCTGCTACTGTAGACAGGAGTGGGATGTGATCCTTCTGCTCTGCTCTCAGGATAAGGGAAAGTCCTGTAAACCACAGAAAAGGGAAGCTTGTAACAATTTATTTGGGGTTGAAATAGGAACGTCACCACATCTTGAATTCTCAGCACTGATGAAATTGCTCTTAGCTCACAGAAGACGCACTGGTTTTCCTTAGAGACCTGGTGAATGGTCGGGTAGCTGTTGCACCAGCCTACTCCAAAACTGTAATAATGTTCTGCCTGAAACCTGGGACATCATTCTGTTATGTAACTAGCTGATACGGCCATCATATACATGTGGCTAGTGAAGCACCAAATACAGCACATAATTCGTGCTACCAGACTAGAAGGGAGGGCTATATATCAGTAAGACATTTATAGAAGACAGACATTTAATCCATAGTCAAATTACGTTCACTTTACCTCATCCCACCCTTTGTCACGTAACATACCATAAGGAATTCCTGGTTTTGTTGCTGTCCAAAAGGAGTCTGTTCCCTTGCTGTTAAAAGTATAGCAGCTTCCGAAGACTGGGTGGTGAAAGTGAACATAGTCACTGAAACCAAGAAAGATTTTGATAGGTTTTAATTACAAGTGTAAGAATGCCTTTACTTCTACAATGCATGTGTTTTGTGTATGGGGGGTGTGTGTATGTACAGGGGTGCCTATAGGAAAGAATTACTAATTCACCAAAAAAAACAGGAAAAATTAGCTGCTCAGAGATTCAATGCTTGCAGGTTACAGCCAGAGTGGCAAATACAGGAGTCAAATTCAGAGATCTGACCTGTGTTTCCTTCTACCAAACAGATTCATTTGTTTCCTGCCTGTCCCAAAATCCAGGCAGGCTGAAACACGAGACCAATTCTGTGTTCTGAACACAGAAGCACAGAATGGCTTGGGTGGGAAGGGACCTTAAAGTTTATCTAATTCCAACTCCCCTGCTATGGGCAGGGACGCCTCCCACTAGATCAGGTTGCTCAAAGCCCCATCCAACCTGTCCTTAAAAACTCCCAGGGATGGGGCATCCAATCATTAAGACAAAGAGCTTCTCTCTCCTTGTACACTTAAAAATTATACCACTTAGGGTCATGATGAACTTCCCTGGGCAAGTCAACCATAGGCATGAAAGAATTAGAAACTACAACTTTGCTTTTGTGCTAGGCAGCAGGCCCACTTCTTTGCATCAAGGCACAAAAGGGTGCAGAAAGACCATCAGACCCTGTTGGCATTAACCTGAGTCCTCCTGGCATAAAGGTTAAGAGCAATCCTTGTGCTCAAAGGCCAAGTCACATGGTAAGAGCAATGAGACCCTTATGCTTCCCATTCTCTCCCCACTTTTTATTGTTCCAGTAAAAACAGTCCCCACTTTTACGCTCCTTTCCACCCATGCAGGCAATCATTCACTATTTATCATCCAATACAGTCAGCACATCCCTGTACTAGTGAAGTCTCAGTTCCTGCTGAATTTCCCTTAGGCTTTTTTGACAGCCTAATACACTCACTACCAATCACAGAGGCAACTCATGGGGCAACGCCAGTTTCTAGGTTCCTAGCTCTGTGCTTTGATCATGACAGGCGGCTCTTTCTTTGAGTCAGGTCTCCACCAAGAGCTGAGTCTGGCAGTTTGCCATGAGATGCGATGCCTCACCCTACAGGCTCAGTTTCAAGTCCCTGAGTTTTGCTGAAATCGCAGTCAGCACCTCAGGAAGCAACATACCTGGGCCTGCAGGGCTCCCCATCATACTGGCAGGAGTAGACCATATCTTCTATCTGCTCCTCGTGATCAGAGATGTTGATTATAACCGGCAGCTGGGACATGATATTCATGTAGTGAAACCTGTACCATTCAAGAATTGCATCCATCCCAGATGAATAGGTCTTGTAAAAGCAGTTCCCACCTGTGGCATTGCACTGGGAAAAAAGAAGAGAGGAACCATTCAGCATAACCAGGCCATGACAGCTTGAGGGTGACAGAGATCAGGGGGCAAAGGAAATACCACATATAAGGACGTGGAGAACCTCTATTTTTCCAGAAAATGAAGTGTCTGAGCACTTTAGCTATGTGATAAGCACCTTCTCTCCCTGAGACTAGGTGAGGTGTGCTCCTTCATCTCAGTGGTCTCAGTGGGGAAAAGAGACAGATGAGAGCAGAGGAGCAAACTCAAGTACGTTGGGAGAAAGAAGGAGAGGGGTGGTAGGAATTCTCTACAACCCATGAATCATGGACCAAGTCCTGAGACGCTTTCTTTGTTCTTACTCAGGCCTTAGACAGGTGAACACCCACAGGTTCTGGTGAAAGTGTGCTTGGTGAAGGACCTCAGGAGAGGGCAGGGCGATAATCATCAGGCAAAAATTGCTGGCCTTTCAAGCCACATCAATTTCTCTCTCAGAGCTGTTGCTCTTAGGTCTGTGCTAATTCTGTTCATGAGATGAAGGAGTTGAAGCATTCACGTTATTCTCCAAAGTAACAAGCACCCATTTGTGGTATTCATTGTCTTGATTATTTATTGTCATGTCTTGTGTTATCTGTGACAATTCTAGTGCCCCAGTACCACAGCATTTAGACACTGAGGAAATTCTTGTTATTTTATATGGGCTCTTCATTCTCTGTTATTTCTGGGCTCACCTGCTAAGTGTAGATGTTTTGTATAATTTTAGAAAGGGGTACAATGATTCCCACAGCCTATTGCTACCTTTCTGTACCAAATTCATTACTGCCAGAGGGATGTTACAGGTGGGTGAGTTGTGTAAGGCCGCTGAAGTTTTTATTGCTTCACTTGACAAGAACCATGGCAATCAGCACAAAATGATGATGATATAGGGATGGACTCCTCCTCAAATATCCTCCAAGCTGCCATTACACATCACTAAAACTACCTATTTTTTTCACTGACTTGTTGAATGTACCTGGTGAGATCTCTGTCAGGGCCCTGAATGTCCCTATAGACCTTAACAGCCCTGAGCAGCCTCACCTGGGGCCTCCACCTGGGGCCAGGAGCCCATTTAAGCTCAGCTTGGGGTCTTTAAGCTGTTTTTGGGGGATGCTGTAGGACTGCTGGTCTCTATTGAGACCACAGCTATGTCCCTGCCTCACCACAGGTCTTGTTGACCCAGACCCTGACCTGTGGACAAGCCTCCTGACCTCGAACCTGCCTCATCACTGGGATCTCAGCCATGAGCTGGATTTTGGTCAAAGCTGGCCATCATCTTTGCACTCTTCTCACTCAGGTAAGGTGTGATGGGGCCCTGTAAGAGATGTCCCTGCCCTGCTGGCCTTGGCTTCTCTCTAAATCTGCCCTGTCTGGGAACAGATTCATATATTTAAGATGACACACACTTACCAGCTTGAAGCCCACGCGGGACTGTCTCTTTCCTGTCTTATTGTTGAGCTCAGGTGTTCTCAGTAGTGAGAAGTTTTGGCTCAGTTTGAAGCTGGATCTGCTGAGGTTGCCTGTGCTTGACAAGTCTCTCATGTGGATGTTTTTCTCATTCATGTGGAACAAGCTGGCTGTTGTGTTGATGCCGTATAGAAAAGCAATAGATTCCTCTGCCATGCGATCCAACTGAACCAAGTGTTCACTGACCAGCTCAAATCTGTGAGGACCAGAAATATTTGCTAGGTGTGAATATCTATGCTTCTTTGAGACAAAAGCACTTAACGTGCCTCATAGTAACTATAAAATGCTGTTCTCATGGTCTCTGCAGACCTTGATGTCTGCCTGAGAAAAGGTAGTGATTGTGCTGCTGTGCTCAGCATGTCTAATTTCATTGAGTTAATTTATTAGGAACTCCAGCAGCTGCATTTCCAGTTTCTGGGTCCTCCACTGAAAACCTCAAAGTTTGCTGTCGTGCAACATCAGCTGCACAAACAGGCCCTCCTGTCAGCCAATTACTTAATTGTTTCTGAGGAAATTACACAATTCCTTCAACCTCTTGATAAATTGCCACTACTGTATGAGCCTTGTTTGACAAACATACTCCGAAAGACTTCCACGGAAGGTTTATTGTTTCATTAAAGTCCTTTGTCTGAATAAAAAAAAGGCAGAGTCAGCATTAGTGTGAGTCACTCCAGTGATCTGTGATTTAGCTATGAATAAATACATGCAGTAACCATGTATTTTGGGGAAGGAATATTTTTATCAGAGCATGAAATCAGTTAGCACTCGAACCAGGTGTCGAGGCAGAGTTCTCCTGATCCTGAATCAGTGCATCAGATAAACTGCTATGTACTGTTGCCCAATTCCAAACAAGATCTGGTCTGAGAACCAGTTTGGAAATAAATCCTTCTGCATCTCACGGGCCTTTCTACTGCCCACCCTGCCTGGATCAGCAGCAAAGCTCCTCCAGGCTTCGCTCAGTCACCTTCTAGGCCCTTGTAGCTAAAGACAGGGTTATAGCCAAGGGGAAAAAACATGTTACCTGTATGGGTCCAGATTGCAGATAGTGATTGCTGGAAACATCTTGGGCTCGGAATCAATGGACATGGTCAGGACAACCGGGTAGGCCCAGTACTGACTGAACATAAGTGCAAATTGCCAGTACAACATGCCGAAGCTGGCGAGTAAAAGCAGAGTCCAAAAAGCTGTTTTCATCTTGTTGCTGTCCGAGCACACGAGGCGGATGGTGCCATGGATTGTGGTGTTCTTGCAGAAGAACTCAAACATGTCCTTGAAGGAATCATAGAACTCGATCAAGCCTTCTTTTCTCTCTTCCTCCTCTCTCGCCACTTCCTGCTCCATCCTTTAAGTCCGTTTCTGTTTAACAAGAAGGAAAGAAAATAGCTTGTGAGAGAGACCACGGTTGATCTGTGGACATGTTCAAACAGGGTGTGAATGAGTTTATTAGCAAAAAGCTGAAAATAGCTATGAGCTGGCTTTTGTCCCTCTTCACAGAGTTTGAATATCAGGGAGTAGCAAAACTCAAATGTTCTGCATGCTGCTGCCTAAGTACCTTCAAGTGATTTTATCACACGCACTATGACATCTCTGTTAGTGTGGATATGCAAAGTTAATGTGACTAATACCCAAGCTGCTGAGAAGTCTTCAGCCAAAGCAGCGTGTAGCTTGCTTCTTTCTAAGAATACTGAGGACCAACACTTAATTCTGAAAAATCTACTCCCATTTATTAATGGATGTGCAACTAATTCCTTAATATAAGTAAATTGCTGGTGAAACGTGCTGGGCTAGGAAGCTTGAAATTGTCTCAGAATGAGCAGTATGGCTTCATCCTTATGTCAGGGAATCAAAGGATAAATCCAGCTTTCCAGTGTGTGGAAGGGAGAAATTAGGACTGGTTTTGAACTATTGCATGGTCTGACATTCTGTAGAGTGGAAGTGAATGGGATTAATGTCTGCTATTCCTGAAATACAGCCACTTCCGAGATGAAATACAGTATGTATTTCATAGTTCAAATGAGTACAATCAGATCTTCAGGAAAGGAAGTGGAGGGAAACTCCTCAGCTGAAACCACAGAGGGAATTAACCAAATTGGGATGTGGATAGAGCATTGCAGCTCCTACTTAAAATTAAATGCTCTTTGGTTGTTTCTGAAGACCACAGTAACATTAATTACTGCCATTAGAAATTTTGCCATTACCTCTTACATAAATACTTTCTTCCAAGAATCTACAAATCTCTTTATAAAGGGGGTCTTATCTTTATCTCTGTTTTACAGGTGTGAAAATGAGGAACAGAAATTGAACATCATCCAAGAGTGGCATAACTGGAAATCAAAATCCACATCTGCTTCGTCATGGTAAGTAAAAAGTCTGTTACGCTACGCTAGATTATCTCAGAATTTCTGCTGATGAAAGTGAATGTTATTTATGCTCGTGTGCTTTAGTCAGCATGGACTGATGGAATCTTCCCAGGTTTCAGTACCGGCTTGGACATAGGATTTATGTTGACATACTTCCACTTAGTGAACATGACATCAAGTCCTGTAATGTGTGAGTTTCCAACATGACAGCACTCTATGAATCACCCTGCTTATTATGCTATTAAGAGAAGTTTTTGCTGGTTGCAACACTTCGCTCCAACCTTAACTCCAAATAACAATCTGTTAAGTACACTGTTAACAGAGTTTGAAGTCAAGAAATGCGCACACAAATAACTAAAGCATGGTTCAAAGCGGGCTCTGCAATAGTGAAACAAATACTCAAGACCCAAGATCTCAGTGAAGGGTCCGAAGTGTTTGGGGTTGTCTCAGCCTGAGGAGCCAGTGAGGGTACCCCAGGTCTGCTGATAAACGCTGATGCCCTGACCTTCAGCGTTCATCCTCAACTAGACCTCTCCGTGTCAAAACACGGTTTTATCTCAAAGGTTCTTGGACTAGGATGCTTCAAATGAAATACCATCTTAAGCTATTAAGAAAGTCCCTTCTGTGTATTTTTCATGTCAGAAAAACTAGGAATAATCATGTAATACTGAATTGCACTTCAGAAAGCTGTGCATCAGATCAGCTTTATGACAAACAGCACACAAGTGTATTATTTGACAAGGAAACCCTGCGTATTACCAGTTATTTTCCCCAAAGACCGTGACAGATCCAAGTTTGTATTTTCTGAGCTATCATTTCACAATAATAACACAAAATTCACTCAAGGGCATATGAATCTGCTGTATGCGTTAAAATTAATCGTGACAATTATTTTTCAGTTTTCTTAAAATACATGTGAACAAATACGGAAAGCTCAAGCAAAGTGACATATATATATAAATATAAATATAAAAGGCATGAACAATTAAAAGAACGCATTATAAAGAACTGAAGTGGGAGATGAGAATTTCCCCTTTTGCTATGGGGAAATACTTTGTTTTTGCATTGTGCTGATATGGTTGATCTGCTATTCCCCCATAGACTACCCAGAGCCATAGTTTTGAATCACTGGCTACAAATTTTACCGGCCAGACTTACAGCTGAAGGCTTCCATCTGAGTGCTTCTTTGTTCAAAAGGATTATCTGTGGCAAATTAGAAATGAATCCATGGTAGTCTTGCTACCACTAATTGCTACACATTTTTTGTTAGATTAAATTTTTAGGCCAAATTATGCGTTCAGCCTTTATCTTATTCAATCTTTTCTAATTTTATTTGAATAAAAATAAATGAAAACAAGTCTACAGTATATTTTAACAAATATATTGGATGAGCCCTTGAATATTTACAGTGGTTTAAGATGGAAATGAAAACTGAGACTAAAATGGGAAAATGAAATTTGTTACTGTAATAATCTTACTACAGCCAGCCTTGCTCTAATGAGAAAAAGAATAAAGGCAATATTTACCAAAAATGAATGGTAAATCTGTCAAACACTTTTTCTATGTATAATTTGGAATCTAAAAAAAAAAAAATACCTGTAAGCTTTCAAACCATAGCTTTTAGGGGCAGTGCAGTTCCTAGAAATTCTGATTTGGCTCTTGAGGCTATGGCTAGCTAGTTCATACCATTTGAAAACATTCTTAAAGCAGCTAAAGAGGAAAACCTTATGGCAATCTTTCAAAATGCACATGTACAGGCAACAGAACATCCTCTCTACCGGTTTCCCAGGCGAGCCTACCACTAATTCATTTAAAAATTGCAATTGCAGTCAAGGACTTAACAAAACAGTGAACAGTTGACTGTCTTGTCTGTGGTAAGTGCCTGGAGAGAGGCTGCAGGTTATAGAGCCTGTGGAAGTCAGAAAGCAATGGCAGACAGGTATATGTTCATCGGTTATCACAGCAACGCAATGCTCAGCACATTAAACACCTACACGCACATCATGTAGTCAAACATTTAACCTTGTATATATCTGTATCTATAAATAAATCATACATCTATACAGAAACATACAGTAAAACAACGAAGTCCAAATTTCAAAAACATCTCTACCGTACCTTGGCAGGAGCTCTATGTTTTAGAGTAGGCACTAAGCTCGGCCTTCAGCTTTTTCCTGGACAGAAGACAAGTCTCGGTCCCAAGCTTTGGCTGCCTTTTCTAACTGAAGATATGCTGGAGCTGTCCAGCCTATATGGATCAAATTGATGACATCAAAAGGGGCAGGTCTTAAAAAACAAATCATGGGAATTATTCAAAGCATGATCCAGGGAATAGGAAGTGAATGAACTGGACAAACAAGTTAACATTAAGGTTACACTTGAGTTAAGGTTGGTATGACTGGGGGGGATGGGGGTGATCCTTTTTTTTAATGGCCAGAACAGTTTTTTAGCCATAATTTCTATAAATATGTAGTGAAATAGTTATGGGAGCTGGAAGGTTCTTCCTGCTCTGAGCTTCCCTATCAAGGAATGAGCTTTCTGCCTTCTTTCCATGGTTTCCGGAGGCTTGCATGATCACTAGTAATTGAAGCCATTAGGGTTTCTATATGTGTGCTTCAGGAATTACATACCTAGGTGTAATCTGAAATGATCAGCTACCCGGTCTGTGTAAGGTGCACGTGGCAGTGGATTTCTTCCTGCTTCTCCAAAACTATTGCTCACCTGTAGTGGGTTCTCCCACATCTGTTAAAAACTCAGCTCTTCGGATGGTGGGACCTGAATGGACTCAATCTGAGCTATCAATCATGATAATTGATTTAAAACAGGGCAGCTCTGCTTTTGTAATAGCGCTTAGTTAAGACTTTATAAAAGTCTTTAGCAAAATTATTTGGTATTCTGAAACTTCCTAAAACAAACAAAAACCCTTGATTTACTTGTATAATTAATACTGACATCTGCCCAGCTGGAAGACAGCTCTGGGTTGGTTTTGCAAGGAGCTTGTTATAAAATATCAAATACTCTGGATATGGATAATGTTTAGAGCTCCAAATCTGACCTGCGGAGCTTCTGCCTGCCTTTCAAAATCACCTAGTAAATGGGTTTTCTGTTACATTGGAAATTGTAAGATACTTTTAGATGCGAAATAAAAGATAATTGAAATTTCTTGTGAAATTGAATTCACGAAGGGAGACAAGGATCAGGAAAAACTGAGAAAATACTCTTCTGATTTTGATTAATTTAAATCCTTGTATGGTCTCTTTACATTTTTAACAATTGTTTTGTGTGGGTTCGATTTTAGAAAAACATAACATTAAAAACATTCATCTCAATGTTAAGAGAATGTTCTAAAAGAATTAAAGAGCTGCTATTAATGTCTTTGCCTTCTTCCGTACTAAAAGGAAATTTTGCAAAACTATTTGGAAAATGTTTTAGATTTTGAAAAAGCCAGTACTTTAGGGTGTAAAAAGCAAACTTGAAATTAAAAAGAAATCTAGTTGGCTCTGAAGTTAACAGTTACAATAGAGCCACTTGTCACTGATGGATGAAGCCGTTAAATTCTCGTTAAAAATCTCCGAACACTGAAAACCTACTTCTGTCATCTTCATTTATTCGTCCCCCACCCTTCTTTCTCTCCTTTTATATTGTGTAATAGCAAAAGGCAACAATAAATCTTTGACAATGAAATTATTGCACAATGAGCGCACAAGGCAAATTCTGTTGCTTCATTATGGCTGCAGGCCTCGGTGTAGGGATTGCCTGGCCACACATCCGAACAATGCCTTCTGAGCCAGCCATGAGATTTTCCTGCAGGAAATGAAGAACTGGATGTGCAGACACAGCTGTCCCTCAAGCAAGAGGCCCTTTCTGTTTGCCCTCACTCATTTGTCATCCCATGACCTGCACTGCAGGCAGAAGGAAGAAAACTCTTGGGCTGGTTCAAAGTTGGTGTTTCTATCCAAAATCCAGAAATAGATACTGTAAATAACACTCGTGATGCAGTCCTTTAGTGCTGCAGAGAAAGACTATGCTGTAATTACTTCCAGTGGGACAGAAAATCTGTTAGTGCTTGTATGCTGTAAGAGGGAAGGAGAACGTGTGTGCCCACCACCCCTTTGCCAGGTTGGGCTTTGCTCGAGGTGTTATAGCTACTGCCCTACCCCATGCTCCCAACCCTTGGTTCTGCACCCATCTCGTGGATTGCTGAAACAGGAGTGAAAATGAGACCGCACAGAAGGAGCCCTTGAATACGTGCCTATCTCCGTATCAGCACCCGCTTGGAGTAACACAAGAGGTACAAAGAATGTCCTGCAGGCAGAGAGAGACTGCAGCTATTTCACATGGACAGGGGAGATAATCAGTGAATTGATGGTCCTTGTGGAATGGACTTAGGCACTTACAGAAATCTACACTTGGATGATTTTTTTGTTTATTTTTGAATATTTCCTGACAGCTGGTGCTGGAATTTTTGTTCTCTGTCGAGTAAACCCCTCTCATTGCCCTTGTTAGATACAAGCAGATGAACCGTGCAGCTAGCAGGCAGCATGCAGAGCATTTGGGGGGGGGGGGGGGGAAACTGCCCCTTACTAGATGTGCTGTTACAGGCCGGAGTTGTAAAAATAAATAAAATAAAAAAATATATTAATAATAGTAAAGTCTCAGAGATTGAACAGGGGAGTGTAGTAATGATCTCTAGCTTGAGTCCCTCCTGCTGTGTCTGGCTGGCCCTCCAGAGCTCAAATAGCATCGTCCACCCTCACTTTAAATGTCTGGAATTACATGCCACAGTGTCTGAACTTGTAAGAGCAAGGAGTTGCAGTGAGGTCTGATCACACTGGTGTGAGTGCTTTCCTTAATCATGGAAATGACCCCCCTTGATCCCTCCCCAAGGTACTGTGCTGTGACCCCACAGCTCAGAGAAGCCAACCTGGAGCTGTCCTCCCATAGGAACCTGAGGACACTCCAACAGCTTGGTCACAGACTTCCCCAGTTGGCTGAGAGTTGCTTGAGCTGAGAGGCATAAAACAAATCAGCAAACTGAAATGATGCATCCAACCCCCCCGCTCCTAGCAGCTCTCCTTGCTGCCACACCATGCTGTAAACTTCACTGTAATTTGCTGTCCACTAACTGCACAAACCGTCCTTCGGTTATTAACTTTCTCCCTTGCTGCACTTGTTTCCTATTACTGTGCTCTCTCACACTTAAGTGTTTCATTACTTTCTGTTCTTTTTCCTGAACTCGCCTGTGTCTGGCAGAGATTCCCACTGCTTTCCCTGCCCCAATCTTCAGCCTCAGCTGAGCAAAGCAGCCCCTGGCACCCGTGTCCTCTGGGAGCAGGAGGGTGCCGGAGCAGATCCTGCACCCTCCTGCCTCCAGCAGGCTTTGTAAGTCCAAAGTTCATCTTGATTTTTTTTAGAGAATCAGGCTTTACTCACGTCACTTGCTCCTGCATGGGTGCTGTTTGATATCCTGGAGTGCCCCAGGTACTCTCTCAAGCCATCTTCCCACATTTTCCCTCATTGCAGAGGACCCGGCATACCAACCCGGCTTTCCCCACGCCGGGATCAGTGTGACTTGCCTCCTCCTGTTTTGTGGAAACTCCCTCAGAAGGCTTTCTTCATGGCCACTGGACGAGCCAGTCTATTCCTCCTCCCACTCACGGGCGGACAAACTCCTGTGGGCAACTCGAGCAGAAGGAAACTCCCAGCATTTCCTCCTTGTCTTCTTGGTTGGCTGCGCCGCGTATGGGCTTGAGCTGGCATGCACTGGGCTCTGCCTCCTGCCTTTGCTCCTGGCTCTTCCTAGGCAGAAGCACGTTGTCTTCCTTTCTGCACACAAAATTGGTCTCTGCTGCCCTCCTGGATAAGGGAGCAGTGCTCAGAGATATTATGGGAGTGCTGACAGCTTGTCCGGCCCCACGCAAGAGGCAGAACAATGGCAGTCCCTGCCCTGGAGAGCTTTTGAATATTGCTTCATGTCTCCTGATCCTGCCCCGAATGTTCCCATACTGACCCTGTTTTTCAGATGCTTTCCTCACCTCCGGGTATTTCAACTGAAGCTCTCTGTTTACCAAAATCTCTTCAGAGAACCCCAGTGTTCATTGTTTGACCTGTGTGATGCTTTGAGCAGTGGCTGAGGGGATCTATATCTCAAAACCACAGTGAGCTCTGCCTGCAGGAACAGAATAGCATTGGCGTACCTCAGCTTCCCTTCTGCGCTGGTTTGCATCCAGCCAAGGCAGCGTCAAGTGCTGCAGAGGCTGCCAAACCTGCTCAAGGCAGTAGGTGAGGGCTCCTTAACCTGTGCTGAGCTCCCTGGTGCTCCGGTTTTGTCACCAGCAGCGCCTGAGTTAGCAAGGCTGAAGCTAGCTGGAACATCCCTACAAAACCCAGAAGCCAGAGCAGCGAGCACATGCGTGTTCTGCTAGTCACCAGCCATTTAAACGTTCCCTAATTACACCCCTCGTTATGAAAAGGCCCCACGTAAACCCTGCTTTTCATTAAGCCTCCACCAGAGGCGCTTACAGTCAAAAATGCAGCTTCAGAAGCAAAATCCTGCTCGCTCCCAGTATGACCAAGCATTCATTTCCACTCACTCACCTGTCTGAGTAAGACGTCTGTAGCTGCTCCTGTCATCCCTCTGGGATAGTACCTGCTCTTTCTTTTCCTTCCTGTTCTCTGCTCTCCTCGTTCTTTAGTCACAGGCCTTCAGAGATGCTGTTCCACCTGTTGGGACCTGCCTACCCCTCAGCCATTTCGAAGGCTGACAGGCCGGTGAAATCCTGCTTGCCGGTGGACTTTTTATCCTCCTCCAGCTCAGACGCAGTATCTGTAGGAATGCTGAGGCAATTAGGACTGGCAGAGGCTGTAGGACATCAGTCAGAACTTCTTGTTCTGTGGACATAAGCGATGAAGCTGCCTTGCAATCACAGACCCCGTATCTCCATCACACCCAAACGCCAAATCTCCCTGAGCAGTTGTCCAAGCTCCTGGAGCAGGTGGCAGATGGTACCTCTGGCTCCTGTCTTCTGGGAACGGGAATGCAGATCTGCCCCCGTGGTCCCTATTCCTCTTGGTACCGAGGACAGAGACTGCAATGCAATGCGTTAGCAGTTCCTGGGGGTTATTCCATCCAGCAAATTCAGGCTTTCCTACTGGGAGCTGGAAGAGATGTGGACAAGAAGAAGAGGCACCACAGTATGGCAGCTGGGAAGGAGGGGAATGAAGAAACTTGGAACAAACTGCGCAAGGGCAAAACAGTCATTAGCAAATCAGTAACTGAAACTAGCTATTACATAAGTGGCTGTGGCAGCTGTCATACCTCTGCAGATGGCTGCTTTTGGGTTAAATACTGTATTTTCCAGGAGCAGCCTCTGACGGATTCCTTCAGCCTCCTAAAGAACAGGTCTGGCTGTGCCTGAGTTGCTGCAATGTCATAGAGCTGCTGCCCCAGTGGTAAATGTACAAACAGGCTACGGGCACTGAAAACTTTAAAAAGCTCAGTAACAACCCTCTGAATTCAGGCAAAATCCTCTCAGGAGGCGTTAATGGATGAAGAGAAGACCTGGCTTTGAAAAACAGATCATCTTCTAACCTTACAATGATGTCAAAAGCAACGCAAAATGCTAGATTAATGTAAAGGTCACGTAGATGACTTATTTTTGATTCATTGAGACTCGCAGAAGATGGGGTGAGCTGTGAATGTCTGTGCGCCCTGGCTCTGTTTGCTGCCATGCTTAGGGTGTGCTTATTCATATGGAAAGCACTGTATTTAACTGGTAAGCCCGAAGATTTGCTATTAATCATTTGTTTTTCATTTTTTTCATGCTCAGGAAAGCTTTACCTGCCAATCAAGGAGTAGAAATGCTGCCACGTGACTCTCACAGCCTGTACGTAACCGTGAGTAATGCGGAGCGAACAGTCCACCTGAACAGCCCAAATACTCCTGGTCTGACCTGTCTGGTCAGTGCTAACAGAAAACCTCCAGAGAAGTCCACAGACAGCCCCCAAAAGTCAGACCAGGAGTCTTTTGAAACCAAAAGGAGCTAAACTGGCATGGAGTTTACCCCAGCAGCTCTGTACAAAACCCACCTAAAGGCAGAAGCCCCCAGTCACTTCACAACCATTTGTTCAAAAACTAAATTTTCGTGGAGGCTCCTTGCTTGCCAAGGGTGTTTTGTCCAGTATCCAGCATGCTTTCAGAAAATACTAATAAAACAAATGCAACAAGAAGTTATTTATTTCTCTAACTACCAGGACTGCAAAAAATAATGGCCCTGAAGATGTCACTCCACCCACAGACGAGGGCAGAGTCTGCCACAGCATGATAAAGAAATACTGAACTGAAAGCCTTAAACTTTTGAACTTTTCTCTTCTCTGGGCAGTCGTGGGCAAATCTTTTTGCCTCTTGGATTGCCTCACCTCTGCAACAAACGTAATGACACTTGGCAGCATTGTTTAGAGCGCTAATTGGTGTTTGTATAAAGCTTTGGTGATGTAAGCTGCCATGTAAGCATGGGGATGACTATTGCTTTGATACTGCTTGTTAATTGCAACAGGATGGGTAGTAGTCATGCTGGAGTATTTAAACATGTTTTTTAAGATGTATTCCTAGATCTCATCCAGTGTTTTAAGAGAATTTTTACTTCTGTATTAGACAAACGGCCAAAAAAATCTATGTGCATTTAGTGGTCCTGCAGATATTTTCTGAAAATGTGCAAAGGGTGCTCCCTGCATCAGACCCCATATCTCTGGGCCTTTAGCTTCCAGCCTCATTGATGAGCTCCATGCCGTGCTCGTTGCTTAATACACTTTCTTCTCACTTCATCAGCGAGATGGATTGAGATCCAGAGATTATCTTTACTTCTAGACCCATTTGTAGCACTGAGATCTACAGATCAAGAACAGAAGTGAATGTACATTGTGTGGGCTTATCTCCTTTACATAATAACTTTTTCTCAAATTCTCTCTCCCCTTTGACAGGACACAATCATTCACTCATCACACAAGGACTGACAGTGAGGCCAACAATGTAAGTAATGCCTTTTTTATTACTTGATTTTGAAAAGTGTCTCAAGATAAAATACCCCGATTCTCTTCATTACCTCTGGCACTTTTGGCTGGAGTCTTCCAGCAGGTTTTGGCAACAAACATCAGCTTCATATTCTGTTCCATCAATAGTCTAAACATTGCCTTTGACTTGATAAACCAGCAGCAGTTACTCTGTTCAAGGCATCCCCTGCTTCCCTACTGCAGTTAGGTCAGTTCTTTGTTCAAGAATATCATATGCTATATATATCTGTTACACATGAAATACAATATTGGACTACAAAGAGGGTAAGATTGTATTTTTTGCTGCTATGATGAGCAAGGGCAGGTTAACTTTGATCTGTCACAGACTTCAGAATATGCCCTGAGCACCCCTCAGGGGAAGACTCCCTAGGACACGTTGTCATGAATATTCAGTGTAGCCTGTGAGATGGGATGACATTCTGTTATTCTGTGTGCTACAAGAAATCCTGCTGCCTTGCTATCTTATTTCTGATAATGCCTTACGTATACTTATTTTTAAGTTGCCCTGAGTCCATGCTGGCAGACATAAATCCTAAGCACAGTTTGTACCAGCAGTTCCAAACAGCTTCTCTCCTCTTCAGAGATGTCTTCTTACAATGCTGCTGCATCTACCAAAGCTTACATCGATAAGAGAGCTGTTTATCTACACTGAATTGGCTTCTCCACGTTTACCAGGTGGTCTGTGCTGCTTAGCAAGCTGTACAAAGCAGGGGACACTTCCTTATTAAAAGGCCTGATGGCACTGGAGGCAATTCCTCTAGGTCAAGGCAGAGGCATATTTGCTGAAGAAATTTAGCAAATCAAACCGTTCAATGTGGCTTATTATGTGTCTAACGAGGAAAACAAAACCCTGGCAGCTCAGCCAGAATCCTTCCTGTAGGAGTAAATTACTATTTTAAATGAGTAAGGAAAAATGTTTAGACACACAAACTTGCTACGAAATTCCAAACCATCTCTGAAGAATAGTTATCTGTACGGGTTACCTGACTTTAAAGGAAGTTCAGCAGTAATGAAACCACAGCCATTATAATGGCTTTTGAAGGCATACATCCATCTTGCAAGGTAATAGCTTAATAACATAATTCTAATTCTAATACTAGGCATGCT